ATACTTGGGGCACCTGAATAGTAAATTAACATGTTAATCTTAAGTTTAAATATTTGTAAAATTAAGAAAGCGTAAAACAGGATCTTTGGGATAGACAATGAGTTTTTGTAAATTTTTATTGATTAATGAAATTTATATATAGCGATATGTTCAATGAAAACGTGTTTTAGAAATATTTTAATGAGCCTATAATAATATAAATAGATAGAGAACGTTAGTTTATGTTTAATTATTTAACTTGGATATATTAGTGAATGAATTGGTTTTAGAAATATATTAATTTGATTATATTTTAAGTAAATGGAGAGTTTTAGTTTAAGTTTAAATATGTGAAAAAGTATAGGTCTTCATAGACTGAAATTTTTTATTGATTAATGGAGTTGATGGTTAGACATAGACAATGAATGTATTTGAAAATGTATTAATTTGATTATAATATCCTATATAGATAGGGAAATTTTAAAGAAATATTGTATATATATGTATTATGTTATCTTTTTTTAAATAATTGACCACCATGTCTCCACATGGGCTCTTGCTGTGTTGATGTAAAATGTAAAACTAATAAAAATTGTTGTTTTTTTTTTAAAAAAGAAAGAAACTAAAAGCTGCTAAATTGTATGACAAGCTCTCCAAGAGCAACCTCCACCAGAGTAAAGTAAGCTAGGCTACCACATATCACACGAAGAAGTCAAGATGGACCCCCAAAAGGTCCAGGCGGTATTGGACTGGACTCCACCCCACACTAGAAAGCAATTGCAAAGCTTCCTGGGCTTTGCCAATTTTTACTGCCAATTAATCCCAACTTTTGCCCAGATCATACTCCCCATCAATAACCTTTTAAAGACAAAAAAAGAAGACAAGCCTAGCCAACCTTTAAAATGGACTATGGAGAGTCAAGCAGTGTTCGAGAAACTTAAATGCTTGTTTGCAGCTGAACCTGTCCTCAAATACCCAGATCCAAACACCCCATTTATCATTCAGGCAGACACTAAGGATGTGGCTGTAGAGTCATACTCTTGCAACAAAACGAACAAGGGAATTCACAACCCTGTGCCAACACTTCTAGAAAACTGTCTGAGACTGAACAGAGATGGTGGTCTGGGAAAAGGAGGCATACACAGTGAACTGGGCACTCTTAACATGAAGGTACTTCTTTGAAGGGAGCAAGGTGCCTTTTAAGGTGCAGACCAACCACAAAAACCTAGAGGCTTTGAAAACCCTGCAGAGGCTGTCACCCAAGCAAGTCCAATGAGCATAGTACTTCAACCATTTAACTTTACTTTGCACTACCTCCCAGAGGAAAGAAATTTCTGGCTGATGCCCTATCATGAATGCCTCAGTATAACTGTACCAAATCAGATGTGGTCAAACTGTTAATCCCATCATGGCAGCTGGCCAGAGCGCAAGCAAGAGAGAAGCCTCAGATCAACAACAATGTCACAGCCACTCTTAAAGCCTCACTACAGGATGACAAGTGGTTTCAAAATCACAAAAATGAATGCTCCATATGGGACGATCTAGTCTGGGTGAGGGCTAAATTGTATGCACCAAAAAGCCAGAGGTTACTGGTCCTGGGTAAAAGCCATGATTCAAAAACTGCTAGGCATTTTGGTTTTGTGAAAACTTTACATTTAATTAAAAGGCAGTTTTGGTTGCTGTCCTTAAAGAACAACATTGAAAGCTATGTGGCAAGTTGCCCGATTTGTGCCTCTGCCAAGCGGCGGTAAGGAAAAACCCCAGGGCTCCTCCAACCAGTGGCTGAGCCAATGGCCCCATGGAGAGAAATCTCCATAGATTTCATAGTAGAATTCCCAGAAAGCTCAGGAAATATGGTTATATGGATTATAACATTTGTTTTCCAAGCAGGTGCACTTTGTCCCATGCCAAAAATATCCCTCAGCATGTGTGCTAGCCAAGCTTTTTGTGCAATATATCTACCGACTACACAAAGCCCCACAACGCATAATCTCCAATAGGAGGGTGTAAGCGTTCCTAAATCTTCTTGGGACTGATTAGGGGCTTGGCTTCAGTCATCACCACCAAACTAATGGGGGGTGCGAACACAGAATTCAGTGAACAGTACTCAGGTGCTAGATTCATTATCAACAGGACAACTGGACAGACCTTTTATCATTTGCGGAAGTAGCATACAGTAATTTGGTACTGTACGGGGTTTACCCCTTTAAAATGGCTATGGGACAAGACTTTACTCCCATGCCCAAGCTGCCTTTGAATGGCCTCCCTCTGTGCCTTTAAAAGAATGGGTCTCCCAATTATGGAATACTTGGCCGGTTGCAGATCCTAGGAAAGCTTATAAAAAGCAAGCTGATGAAGAGTGCAGGGGGCCTAAGTTTACCTATCACCCAATACTTGCAATCTTTGCAACCATTGAAAAAGTTAGGACCCAAATATGTGGGTCCCTTCCCCATCAAATACATTATTAACGCAGTTATGGTGGAATTAGATTTGACAAATCTCTTTGACAAATCCACCAGTGTTCCACTACAGTTTGTTAAAGACCGAGATTACTTCCCCCCTTAGATCTGAATTGCCATCACTGCCTGAGCTGTTCTACATGAGTCCTTGTTGTTCTCACAAGGAGAAACCCCTCTTCTAAGAAACAGGCAGGAACCACAAGAAAAACCAATCCCTTTTATTCACACAGATCTGAGTCAATGTCCAAGGCAAACAAACACAGTCCACAGAAACTCGATCCTCAAAATGAATGGTTGCCTTTGGCAACCAGCACCTCCCAAACATCCCCCTTTTATAATTCAGCCAAGGCATGGCTTCCTAATGCCTTCTGCTTTGCCTTTGGAGCCGCCCCATTGCATTCCTCTGACCCACTTGCATTCCTCTGTCCTGTCTGCGCATTCATGCATCTGTGATTTGTCCCAATGGTTTCTCATCACTGTCCAACTCAGGCTCCCAGCACAGCTGTGTGTCAACAAGTAGAGGAGCCAGGCTTCTCATCTGACCATAAGTCTTGGAGCTCCTCAGAACCTTCTTCTGACTCTAATGTCACTCCAGCCCCTCCTCATCTGAGTCCTCAGACTCAGCTGCCAAATCCACTGGCTGGCGAGGAATCACAATATGAGCCTTTAATGATAGAAGGGGAACAACACTTTGAGGTCATTTTAGATTCACGCAGACATCTGAAAAAAGTTCAATATTTGGTTGCATGGAAGGATTTTCCCAAATCCCACAATGAATGGGTTGATCAACACTATGTTAAAGCTGCTAGGCTTCTTAAAATGGTTTCATAATATAAGTAAGCTATCAATCCTAACCCTCTTTTCTCTTTTTGTGTATTGTGTTTTGTTCTACAGAACTAATGTCTCTTTCAGGGGGCAGCATTTCAGATCCACCATTCGTACTCTGGTGTCCTGCCATCATGCTGAGAGGGGAGGGGGATGGCATGTTTGAGATTTTTTTGCTTCTGCCGTTCGCTTGGGAATTAGGGAGGGGGACTATCTTGGGAGACAGAACAAGCTCCTTCCATCTGGTTTCAAGGCCATCGGCCTCTGAATGTGAATTGTTATCTGCCTAGCACCTCAGCATTCTCAAAACATCTCAGCATCACATTGGCTGCCAGTGGACTAGTCAGGGGGACTGAAACTGGGAAACCAAAAGAATCACTTTGTGCTTTGCATGGGACTTTCAGATTCTACCTGACTTTATTGCATCCAGTTATTCAGTAAAAGTTCTTTTGATTCAACTTAATGGAGAGTCTTGTTTTCTTGAGGGGGGGGGCTGACTGGGTTAGGTCGGACACTCACTTTGCTTGTGTTTGAGAGGAGGGTGACAGTTCCAGGCAGTGTTTCTCCCAAATCCAAGGAAGTGGGAGATCACAGCCAGGAAAGGAAGTGGGTGATCCAATCCTGCGAAAAGTTTTTGCAACAGATTCAGGAGGTACTGGCATGATTCTGTAGCAGTGTTGGCAGTTGTGGTCAAAATGTTAAGATGGCAGCCAAGATGGTGCAGTCAAAGTTCCACCAGGCCACCATCTTGCCCATGTCCCTGCAATTTGGAAGAATTCCAGCCCACTGAATGTCCTTGTTCGTGCCTAATTTCTCTAACTCAACTTTTCTGTTTTGAAAGATATTATTAAACCTTGTAAGATAGAGGCTTTCATTCTGAATTTCCTCCTTAATTAATGTTTTAAATAACATCTAATATTTTGTGTTTATTGCTAATGTGTTATTTTGGTGGTTTCTGGACCTCAGCCGATGACTTTTGATTGAATTGTTTTTATTGAAAATAAAAACCAGCCAGCTAGAGCTCTGTAAACTCAAAACTTAAAATGAATGTTACCATAACATAAGCTTTTTGGAGCCACCAAAGCAGATGCAGAATTATTTTTTAGATTTTTGGGGGTCAGATGAATAATTTGGGGAGGTGGGAAGTCTTTGAATTGCACTTGATATTTGAAAGATAAGCTGGGGATCTCACTCAAGAAAGCTGATCAGGTCAGGAAAAAAAGTAAATAAAATAATTTCAAATTATCTCTATCAAATTGCATCCATTAAAACATGATTGTCCAACCTTTTGTCTTGCTCTGGGCCAAGTTGAGTGAAGAGGAATTGTCCTGGGCTACATATAAAATATATAATATAGTTAATATATATAAAAATAAGAAACTTCTTTTATTTTTTAATATTTTTTATAATCTCGTGAGGCCACATTGCTAGCTGTCCAGGGCCACATGCAGCTCCTGAGCTGCTGATTGGACACCTGTGCATTAAAATAAATTAAGATGCCTCTTGTCAATGTCTAATCCTTTCTATTTCCCCCTTTTTATCACATTGAACATGACAATTTGAAGGCACTGTTAGCGTGTTTTGGGAGCCCCACCAAAAGCTTTGGGGTGACTCCGGGGGCCCTGGTACTCTAGGGTCAAGATGTTTCTCTTTGCTACCCAGATTTATCTAGGTTCTCTGAAGCTGGTTCCATTGTGGTTGTGGCTCATCCAGCCTCTCCTCTCTTTTCCCCTGCAGGTCCAGTGATGAAAGCTGAAGTAGGCGACACTATTCAAGTGACCTTTGCCAACAAAGCCTCGTTTCCTTTCAGCATCCAGCCCCATGGCGGCTTATACAGGAAGATGTGGGAAGAAGGCCCATACCAGGACGGTTTGTTCTTCTAACCTCTTTCTGCTCAGTTTTTAATCTGTTCCAGAATGAAACACATATATAAACAGGTGTAATCCTTTCAGTCAGTAAATAAGTCAAGCAAATTATGTTTTTGGGCTGAGAAACAAGCTGTTTCCAGTTATACAGAAGCAGTTTTATAGGAAGCCTTCATTTGGAACATTGGCAACCTTACAAGAGTCTTCTCCAACCTTTATGACGGCTATGGATTATGGGAGGTGAAGGAAGCCAAGTTGTGGAAGGCTTCTGCTCCTTCCTGCTTTAAAAGCTTCTTTTTTTGCATTCTTTTTTTTTTATTGAAAAGTTTTATACAAGTTTTTAACAATATCTCCCCCTGAAATAACCCCCTCCCTCCCCCCTCACTTCCCAGAGCTGGTTACAGGGTTACAAATAAACAAACAAATTCTAAATAAACTTATCTAACTATATAAATAATAAAATCAATAATGTACTTTAACTCAAATACAAAAAAAAAATAACAATATAAGCATTTCCAGATTGAAAACTAAAAATTATTCATAATCTACATAACTTTTTAAACCCATATCTAACTCATATCTAACTCATATTTACTCTACACGTAATTTATCCATCTTCTCCTCGCTGAGGTGTATATTTCTTTTAAACAACCATTCATCCATAATAAACACAAAATTTTCTCTCCAATATAACCCAACCAACAAACTTACATTTGATAAACTTGACTCTTTGCTTTTTGCCCCTATGAAAATCTATTAATACCCTCCTACTTAAGAAGTTTCAGCAAACCATTCATCTTAATCACTAAAATTCTCACCAACAGAGATCATTTAAATTTAAATTCTTTTACACATTTACCCATAATATCTCATAATGATTTTTCACTTTAAATTAAAAATTTATAATATATATACTCCCAAATATTTAAACTTTTCCACTAAATCAACACCTTCTATTATTCTTTTTCTTTACATTTACATACTACACAAATCATTCATTATTCCTTTAAAACATACTAAATCAAACTATCAGCTAAACTAACATTTATTGTTCTTTTTCTTTACATCTACATATTACACAAATCATTCACTATTCCTTTAAAACATCTTCTATCTCAAAAAACTACTACAAAAGTTCATCATTTCCTTTTCTTTATTCCAACATCCGTCTTCTGCTGTTCTTTTACTTTACATCTATAAGCTGCACGAGTCATTCTCGGTTCCTTTAAAAAATCTGTCTCAAGAGACTGCTGCAGAGGTTCAGCCTGTATGTCTCCTACATCCAATAACATATCACCTTCAACTGGCTGCTCTTCCAACTTATTTTCTATTATCTCAGATCGTGAAGATGATGGAGAGCCCGCCTTCAAAACAGAAATGTAAAAATCTTTCGCCTTTGAAATTATATTAAGTTTATAATATATCCCTGCATAATTCACCACTATTCCAGCCAGTATCTCCCATCTGAACCGGACCTGTCGATTTTTGAGCTCATCAACCAAAAAAGCAAAATCCTTTCTTTTTCTAAGAATTTTTGAAGGTATATCTTTTAAAATTATAACATCTTGAGCTGCAATTTGAAATCTCTGCTTATGAAAAGCCTGTAAAATTTCATTACGAAGTGATCTCCTAGAACAGTGGTTCTCAACCTTTTTAATGCTGCGACCCCCAACCGGTCGTAAATTGAGGACTACTCAACTGGTCGTAAGTTGAGGACTACTCAACTGGTACAGCACCGTTTGCAGAATGGGACTTTTGGCGGGCTCAGCAGGGCAGAGACAGCCTGGACAATTCCTATTGGCTTTTGAAAGCCAATAGAATTAGACTCTATTCAAGAGAGTCTATTCTATTGGCTTTCAAAAGCCAATAGAATAAAAGGGAGTAGCACAGCTAAGGAAAAGGGGTAAAAAATGGCGGACTGCGTTGTTTGGCGACCCCCGTGAAATGGTCGTTCGACCCCAAATGGGGTCCCGACCCACAGGTTGAGAACCACTGTCCTAGAAAAATAAATAACCACGTTTCGTGGCAAATTCCTCTGCCTCGCAACCCTTGAGTTAACCCTAAAAACTTTTTCCATCTCTCTCAGTATTTCTTCAGGCTCAGCCCCCAAAATGAAAGCTATATCTTTTACCACCTCTTGCGTGTTTTCCTTCATTCCCCTTATTCTTAAAGCAAATTCCATATTTCTATATTGTAACATAGTAATTTCATCCTGTATTATTTCCACCTTATTTTCTATTTTGTCAATTTGATCTTCCAGTTTTTCAAAATTTTCCACAACATCATCAATACGATCATCCAGACGATCTATATGACCAACACACTTTTGAAACACAAACACTATGTAAGGACCCACCCCACTTTGCATCTTAAGAAGACAGAACTCTTGGAATAATTCTTCCAACAGGAATCCTTTATTAAGAGAAAATGGTTGCAGGTGTTCTAGACAGGACTTGGGGTCCAAGCTCTCCCATTCAAGGTTTTAAGGGGTTTCCCAGTAGCCCCACCCAATCACCCCCTACTTCCAGTGACAGTCTCAGGCATTACACTCCCACCCCCTTTTCCCTTACTGCCGGCTGGATGGAGACTTCAGAAAAAACTACATGAAAGGTAATAGCCCCCTTTGTTATGATTAGGCCTTTTTGGTGCTACCCACATTCAGTCTCTTTGAAGTATACTGAAGGACGTGAGAGCCATAAAGCCCCTTTGTTCACCCCCCTTCCCTTCATTGTATGACAGAATCCAGAGAAGGCAGAAATGGGGTTTTCTATAACTGATAACTAGAGATGAAATATAATTGGATTCTGACATCCGGCCCCCTCAAAAATAAGAGAGATCCACCTGAAAGAAAATAAAACAGGTATAAAAGTTAGTCAGGCTTGTTAGGGTACGCTATGTGAAATTTCTTTAATAGCTTCGGGGCTCTGACATGATGTTTATGGATCCACTTGTTTTGTGAGGCAGGGAGGTGTTTCCAGGCAACTAGGTACTGAGTCACTCCATGATATCTCCTAGAGTCAAGGATTTCCTTTATTTCGAAGTGTTGTTCGCCCTCTACCATGATTGGAGGTGGTGGGGGGAGGATTTTTGGCCGTAAAGCTGACTGTAAGGACCCACCCCACTTTGCATCTTAAGAGGACAGAACTCTTGGAATAATTCTTCCAAAAGGAATCCTTTATTAAGTGAAAATGGTTGCAGGCGTTCTAGACAGGACTTGGGGTCCAAGCTCTCCAATTCAAGGTTTTAAGGGGTTCCCCAGTAGCCCCACCCAATCAACCCCCTCTTTCAGCGACAGTCTCAGGCATTACACTTCCTCTCTTTTCATTACTGCCCGGCTGGATGGAGACTTCAAAGAAAACTACATGAAAGGCAATGGCCCCATTCTTATGGTTAGTTCTTTTGCAATACACACATTCAGTTCCTTTGGAGTATACTGAAGGAAGTTAGGGCCATAAAGCCCCTTTGTTCACCCCCTTCTCTTCCTCGTATGGCAGAATCCAGAGAAGGCAGAATTGGGGTTTTCTATATTTGATAACTAGAGATGAAATATAATTGGATTCTGACATCCGGCCCCCTCAAAAATAAGAGAGATCCACCTGAAAGAAAACAAAACAGGTGTAAAAGTTAGTCAGGCTTGTTAGGATACTCTGTGTGAAACTTTTTTAATAGCTTCGGGGCTCTGACATGACGTTTATGGACCCACTCGTTTTGTGAGGCAGGGAGGTGTTTCCAGGCAACTAGGTACTGAGTCGCTCCATGATATCTCCTAGAGTCTAGGATTTCCTTTATTTTGAAGTGTTGTTAGCCCTCTACCATGATTGGAGGTGGTGGGGGGGGATTTTTGGCCGTAAAGCTGACTGATGCTCTCTTTTCAGCAAGCTGCAACGAAAAATTGGGTGTGTTTGCCTGAGATTTTTTGGTAATTCTAATTCTACTGTTACTGGGTTTATGATTCTTTTAATTGGAAAAGGCCCTATATATTTTGGTCCAAGTTTTTTACAGGGTTGTAGGGACTTTAGGTATTTTGTAGATAGGTACACCATTTCACCTATAATGAATGGTGTAGGCTCAACCCTTTTTTTATCAGCTTGTGTTTTGTATGCCTGCCTAGCTTCATCTAGTACTTTTCTAACTATTGGCCAGGTGTTTTGTAGTTTTTCCATCCATTATTTCAGTGATGGGATCGTTGGTTCATTTGGGGTTAATTCTGGCATGGGGTTGAAACTTTGACCGGTGGGTATTTGAAAAGGAGTGTAACCTGTGCTGGAGTGGACTGCATTATTGTAGGCAACTTCTGCAAAAGGGAGTAAGTCCACCCACTTGGTCTGCTGGAAACTAAGAAAACATCTTAAATATTGCTTAAGTATGGAGTTCATTTTTTCAGCCCCCCCCCCCATTCGATTGTGGATGATGGCTAGATGTCAGTCCCTGAGTGGTTCCTAAGAGGGATAAAAATTCCTTCCAAAATGCAGACGTAAATTGCACCCCCCTGTCAGTGATGATGCGTTGGGGTGCCCCATGCAATCTGTAAATATGCTGGATGAAAAGTTTTGCTAAGGCTTTTGCAGTGGGAATCTTTTGGCAAGGGATAAAGTGCACCTGTTTGGAAAACAAGTCCATGACCATCCAGACAACAGTATTCCCATTGCTTTCTGGCAATTCCACTATAAAATCCATGGCTATTTCTCTCCAGGGGGCTGAGGGATTTGCCACTGTTTGTAATAGTCCTGGCGATTTCCCTTGCAACCTCTTTGCAGTGGCACATTTTGGGCAACTGGCTACATAACTTTCTATGTCCTTTTTTATTGATGGCCACCAAAATTGCCGTTTAATTAAGTGTAAAGTTTTTACAAATCCAAAATGCCCTGCTGATTTTATGTCATGGCAAAGTTGCATGAAAGTGACTCTTTGAGTTGTTGGTATATATAACTTTTCCCCTACCCAAGGCAACCCGTCTCTCATTGTGCACACATTTTTGTTTTTCTGGAACCATCAGTCTGTTTCCAAACTTTTTCTGAATTCAGTTCCAGTTTGGCTGTCCAGTTGTGGTTTTAATTTGGCTTGGGTTCTTGTGGTTACTGGTGCTGCCAGTTGTGACTCTGCCATTATTGGTTTAGAGTCTGTGGTTCGTGCGCTGTTATATTGAGGCATGCGTCAACATCTCAGCGACATTTTTCACCACTCTTAATTGAAGAAAGGAGAAGATAAATTCTTTTCTAGAGTTAAAGTCTCGAAATAATCCCCATTTTAATCTCTCCTGGTTAGCTCTGTCTGCTTTAAATTTTACTCACAAATTCATTTTAAGCGCAGATGTGGAAGCAGCGTCTAGCTTTGCCCTGGAGAAAATCAGGGCAAAGGCATCCTGGAATGTGGAGAACACCTCAGACTCTGTGGGAGCTCTCACCCTCCGACCACCCAAAAAAAAACTTTGGGGCCTCAGGGAGCTCTACCACTATCTGAGGAAAGCTCACCTCCTCCCCTTCACCCGGGGAGAGAGGTTCCAAGCCGCAACACAGCTGTTGCTCACTGTCTCAGCTGGCTTTGACACATCCCAGGGCGGACGGCTGAAAAAAGCCGCCATCGGCGCGGCCGTCACCACCGGATGCATTCTTAATGTAAGGACCCTCTTTAATCCCACATCTTAAGAAAGCAGAACTCTTGGAAACAATTTCTTTCAACAGGAACTTTTATTAAGAGTAGTTGATAGCAGGCATAATAGACAGGATCTGAGGGATTCTTTACAGATCGATACTTTAAAGGGTCCCTAAGCAAACCCCATCCCACAGTTCATCCGGACAATTCAGACCGGCCAATCCCCAGGTGTTAAGTCCATCATGGGAAAGGGAAAATAACATCAGTCTGGCTCCTAGTACAATGTTCCACAGCTCTTCACACCTCCTTTTGAGACCAGAGAAATAAGCCAGGTTCCGGGTGTCTGTATTTCTTCCCCCCGCTTTCGTAACTGCCAGGTTAGAGAGAAGAAAGTTCAGAAAGATGCATAGTGCAGGAGGCAATTTGTTACAATGTAATGGGCAACAGACCCAGCAGCAATAAACAAAAGGTTACATTGTAGCAAATAGAGGAAGTGAAAGTCATAACCCCGCAGGCGTATCCCCCCACCACGTGGGAGTATGGCAGAATCCAGGGGACGGTGAGATTTGGTTTTAGATCAGAGGAGATAGATAGAAATGAAATATAAATGGATTCTGACACTTACTCTGCCTTATTTCATTAGCCCTTCTGAGAACCTCTGAACATAACAATGACTGGTGGTTGCAACCCAACACTTCCTTTGAAAATAAGTCTACCTTTGCTTCCCCCCAAGAAAGGTTAAATTGGAAATTAAGCTAACATAATCCTTGCCTTCCAGTAAATGGATATTGCAATGATTAGTGATTATTGTCTTGGCAGACATATCCAGGTACTCCCTCTCCATGATAGCCATTTTGTACAGGGTGATATGCCCGTAGTTGGAAACAGCCAGGAACACCTGTTCCCACAGTGCATTCTATGAGATGATTTGATGGACTAGTGACTGAAAATGTACAAATAACTGGTTTTTTCCCCTTCATTTTAAAGGCCTACTCAACAATGGAGTGTCCATCAAGCCATTTAGCAACTTCACCTATATCTGGGTGCTACCACCAGATGTTGGCCCCACAGCCTCAGACCCTCCTTGCCTGACCTGGATGTATTCTTCTGAGGTGGATCCCACAAGAGACACCAACTCTGGCTTAGTGGGGCCCTTACTCATCTGTAGGCCTGGCACGCTCAATGAGAGAAACAAGCAGGTACTTTGTCTTGTTTGATCGTGCCTATCTCAAGTGGAGAAATCACGCAACCTGTGAGGGAAGAGTTGTAAATGAAAGGCAGAGCATCTGTTTTGGATGCAAGCGTCCCAGTTCAGCACTGGCATGCATTGTCAGGGCTGGGGAGGCCTCAGGGCCGGATTTGCTTTCGGGGCAGACCCATCTTCCCCAGCTACATCTGTTTGCCAGATGTGTTGAATCCCAACTTATATCTACAAATATAAGCTAAAAAAGCATGCTGTAAACCAACCTGACTATTTGTGGATAATAACTGAATAATATTTTTTCTGCCTTCTTTCTAGTTGCTGTAAAAACTTCCTCCTAGTGCAAAAACGATGGCTTTGCTTTATAATTTTAGATCTATCCGCTGGTGCATAATAAAAATTGTTGATATGCACACACATGTGCAATAAATTAATATTCTAAGTTATTTAAGTGGTGGGGTCTTAGCTCAGTTTAATAACAAGATAGAATTATTAATTCTGCCATCGGAGAGTTTTATAATTAAATAATTAAATGTCGGTATCCAGAGGGAAGTTAACTAAAGGCAGTCCTCAATGACCATAATTAAGCCCAGAATTAGGTCTATGAGTCATGGCAGTTATTAAGCAGGTCACTTTTTTTGCTGTGGTCTTTAAGTGAACACAGCAGTTATTAAATGAATCCATTTTATCCAATGGGCATTTTTTTGCCAGAAACCAGAAGTAAATACAAGAAATGCAAAAAAATTCTGAAAATTGCTATCACATGATCCTGAAACGTAGTAAATAACCATAGATGTAAGCCAGTTGCCCAAAATGTGATCATTTATTTATTTATTTATTTATTTTTAAAATTTATAAGCCGCCCCACTCCCGGAGGACTCTGGGCGGCTAACAATAAAAAACACATAAAACATAACAAAACAAACAGTACAAGAACATCCAGGGGTCAGATTTTATAAACCCCAGGCCTGCCGGAAAAGCCAGGTCTTAAGCAGCTTACGGAAAACCAACAGGGTGGGAGCGGTCCTAATTTCCGGGGGGAGCTGGTTCCAAAACGTGGGTGCCATCACAGAGAAAGCCCTCCTCCGCAGCCCCACCAAATGGCACTGCTTGGCCGACGGGGCCTGAAGGAGGCCCAGCCTGTGGGATCTAACCGGACGTAGGGAACTATGAGGTAGTTGACCATGGAGGGGTTGGTGGCCGACAAAACTGGAACCCGATTATGAGGACCTTTTGAGGAGTGGGTCATTGACTGGTCTTTAAGTGAGGAGTGCCTATAGATGCCATTGCTCCATGTTGCCCTGTTAGTGGCTTTTCAGAGGCTTCCCTGGGGCCACTGTTAGGTGAAGGAGGTCAGAGGTCTGAGCCAATTTCGAGACTCCACAATATACTAAACCAACACAGAATTGCTGTATTTACCACAGGTGATAGGCCAAAGCTACACACACACACACACACACACACACACACACACACGTGGCTTACAGCATGTATTAAAACAGTAGCTGCAGTCCCACCCTTTATACCAACATCCCCATTTTAGCTTTGTGACACAATTTTATATTTTATATAAATTTTATAGTCCTGATTTCTTCCACTTTTTTGTGTGTGGATTAGCTGATGATTAGTCAATTGTTGTCCCAACCAGGCTTGCTGGGCCCAATATGCAAAACCGATAACACAGGCCAGAGTAGATATTAGGAGCTTTATTTGAGCCAATGAAGAGGGGCAGGAAAAATGTCCCAAAGCTTGCACCCCACTGCTTTTTTATACAGTTCTTACAAAGCACAGTTGCATATAATAATTAATAATAATAATTATTATTAATTATTATTATTATTAATTATTATTATTACAAGCAGCGGCATGACAAAGTAACAACAATGGTGCATTGGAAGATCTGCAAAAAATATCATTTGCCTGTAAGCAAAAACTGGTGGGATCACAAAATAGAGAAAGTCATAGAAAATGATAAAATTAAACTGCTCTGGGACTTCAGAATTCAAACAGACAAGCACCTGCAACATAACACCCCAGACTTAACAATTGTCGATAAGAAAGATAAAAAAGTCTGGATAGTGGACGTGGCAGTGCCTGGAGACAGCAGAATAGATGAGAAAGAACTGGAGAAGATAACAAAATACAAAAACCTACAAATAGAAATAGAAAGACTGTGACAAAAGCAAGCAAGGGTAGTACCAATAGTAATAGGCTCCTTGGGTGTAATCCCAAAACAACTGGAGCACCACTTGAACACCATTGGCATTGACAAATTCGCTGTTAGTCAATTACAAAAGGCAGCCTTATTAGGAACTGCTTCCATCCTGCGACAATATCTGTAATACCATCAAACATCCACATCTGCCTACCCCAGGTCCTGGGTAAGGACTCGATAGGTAGACAAAATGCCAAATCCAGTCTGAACATCTGGCTGACTGCAATGATCAATAATAATAATAATAGTTGGAAGGACTTTGGAGGTCATCTAATACCATTTCAGACAGGTTCTTTAAGAAAACAAAATTAAATGAAAGCACAATAATAAATTATTAAGTATTTTACTGCTTTTCTGTTCTCACCATAGAATTTAATAATTTAATAGGACTCTGTTACACAGCTTGTCCCGTGGAAATTGTCCTGTTGTTTTAATAGTTTCTCACTTTTTATTCCTACATGTTTTGCTGCCTCTCACCTCTTCATAACTCTAAGCTACAAAAGAAATTACTGTCTTCTCTCCTTCCCTCCCTCTGCTGAGCTAGCTGAAATAGCAAAGTAGACTATCTCCTTGGTTATCCAATCAGATTCTAAGTATTCCAAAACCTGATATCCTCTGTGTTGTTTCCTAGAAAGGCATTGATAAAGAGTTTTACCTTTTGTTTGGTGTGTTTAATGAAAACCTAAGCTGGTATCTGAACACAAATCGGAAGTATCTGAAATACACACGGGGAAAAGAAGAACTATTTGAGGATCACATCTTCAAAGAGTCCAATAGAATGCATGGTATGTCGATGTGCCCAATTTGGGGATGAAAGCAAAGGATCAGGCAGTCAGGGTAGGAGGTTGGAGGTCTTATGGCAGCTCAATTTCTTACCACAGCTCAAGGTTGTGAGATCTCAGGAAACACAACAATGTCACTTCAGAAGCCAAAGTTTGGTCTAGTAGTGAAGGCACCAGGCTAGAAACCAGGAGACGGTGAGTTCTAGTCTGCCTTGGTTGACTTTGGCCCAGTCATGGCCTCTCAGCCCAGCCCATCTCACAGAGTTGTTATTGGGCGAAAAATAGGAGGAGGGAGTATTATATATGTTTACCATCTTGAGTTATTTATAAAAATAATAAACTTCCGTATAGATAAATCCAAGAATCAGAACTGAGTGTAGTTTTGTACCAGTCCAGAGATCAGTAAGGGAATTGGAGGCAGCACTCACTGAGAAAGAATTGCCTGAAGTTGGAAAATTGTTTGCCAACATAAACTCTCAATCCTTTAGTTCAGTGGTTCTCAACCTTTTTTTTCTGGCGACCCCGGTCATAAGGACGTGCCGCGCATGTGCGGCGGCGTCTCCATGCGCGGTGGCGCCCCATGCACAGTGCGCATGTGCAGCGGCGGCCCCATGCACGGTGCGCATGTGCGGCGGCGTCCCCATGCACGGTGCGCATGTGCGGCAGCGTCCCCATGCACGGTGTGCATGTGTGGCGGTGTCCCCATGTGCGGCGTACATGCGCGGCGGCGGCCCCACCAGCTGATAAAGAAAATGGCAGATCGCGTTGTTTGGCGACCCCCGTGAAATGGTCATTTGACCCCAAATGGGGTCGCGACCCACAGGTTGAGAACCGCTGCTTTAGTTTATAGCAGGACTAGGGCATGGCTGTTCTCCTGAGTCTTGCCTCTTCCTTTGAGGAGCCACATTTCATATCTTTGATCTACTTGCTGGGTACAAAAAGACAAGAATGGAATTATCAAGCCCAATTCTCTTCCAGTTCAGAGTCTGACTCATCAAACAGGCTCATAACATTAATCATGGCAACTCAAATTTGTAGAGGGGGATGCAAATACTTGAACAAATCAATGATGAATGGTTGCTTGTGTAGGTTGACCTCATCCTTTTCCTTGAGGAAATGTTTCAGCACATCCTTCAAAGAAAAGTTTGAAAGCAACAGCTCTCTCCATTATTGCTTTTACAATGACAATCTGCAAATTAAAAACAAACAAACAATTCATAGAGCTCGTAGTCAACAGTAGACTTCCTCTCCTCTTTTTGTTACACTTGACCTGATTTCTATTCTTGCTAGCCAGCATCATTAATGCCCATCCTATCTGAAAATTATAGGAATTAAAATCCAGCATATGGAGATCCCAATATTTAGGAATCTTGTTTTTTCCGCTTTCCAGTTTCTCAATTAATGCTTAAGTTTTCATCTTACAGCAGTGAAATCCAGACATATATTACTTTTCATTGCTTGAATGGATTTCTGTTGAACAAAGATGTACCAAGGGGGCGTTCTGCTTTGATTTAGGAGTCTTAGATCCCTTCAGATGTTCTCCAGTTCTGTGTTCCAGGCCAGCAACAGCCTCAACTCTGTGGCTACCGCCTGGACAATCATTTTATCCTGAGCGGCTGATCTCCTGTTTTTGGCTTGTCAGCAGTTGCCATTTTTAAATATCTTGGTGTTGATCCAGCAATGGCCCATAAAGTTAGTGAAGTATCTTCACTGGCATTTGTCCATCTTCTCTAGAACCTCATTGCTCCATCTCCCAGTGGGCATCATTTCAGTTTCTGCCCAGAAATGGGCAAAGCATACCACCCCATGCCCACAGCCTCTTCCTTATTTTTTTAACATCTTTAAGTTGCCATGTAGAGGTTTTGCTGTTTTGCTTCTGGGAAGCTGAACGATTTATTCTTCCTTGCTTCCAGCAAGTTACTGTGGACTTAGAGAGGATGTAGGAAGAACTACTGCTTTGATTATTGCAGCATCAGAGCAATAAAGGGAAAAAAGAAAACAGAAAGATCTGCATCAGTATCAAATGGTGTGGTGGGGGAGGGAAGGTTGTGGAGCCATCCATGGGCAAACATCTGCAAAGCAAAGCAAAGAGGCAGGGACTGGTAAGCAGGCAAAGCCCTCTGGAAAAGGCAGGAAGGAGGGAAGCAGGCATACAGCCCCACAGCTGTTTGCTTTCTATTTCCCCCACCATCCTGCCAGAACTGATGAAGCTTCTTGGATGAGAAGCGAAATGTCTTCTTTTTCTTCCCAAGGAAAAAACAGCCCAGTTACCATTTGAAAAAAACACCTTTGAGACAACCCTTGTGAGGGCCACAGCTCAGGCATTTGGCAATTGTCTCCCCTCCCACTTTTTCACAGTTTTTGATTTTTTGGATTTTGAATCCTGCTTTCTACTCAGTTTGAGAATTCCCAAATTGTCATTGGATAAAATCTCCCCTGAAAACGGAGCTCACTGATGATTTCTCCCTGTTTCCTTTTGCATTGAAGCCATCAATGGATTCCTCTTTGGAAATTTGCCTCTCCTGGATACGTGCAAGGGAGAGACCATTTCCTGGCACTTGCTCGGCCTCGGCAGTGAAACTGACATTCATGGGGTTGTTTTCCAAGGAAATACCATCTTGATGAATGGGATGAGGCGAGATACAACCAGTCTTTTCCCTCACACCTTCGCCACAGCCCTCATGCAGCCTGATAACCAAGGTAAAGGCCTAACCCTCTCTTCCCTCTCTCAGGACCGAGAAACTTGACCCTTCACATTGTGTTGAAGCACAGCTCCCCATATTTGGGGAGACGGGCTGGGCTTTCCAGAGGCTCTAGAATTTGCCAGATCTGATCTCAGCTCCTTTCCGTACTGAGTTTAAGATGAAGGGAAACAGCTTAACACCTGTAGAGCAATGTGGTCAATTGAGAAACACATGGATAGTATTTTATTTACTTATTGAGAGACGGTGTACCTGTCTCTTTAGGAACTCAAGGAAACATACAAGGGGGAGGAGGAGGTTGGTGTTGTTGGTTGGACTGATCAAATGCCCATGTCTTTGGGGGAAGACTTTTACTGAAGTTGTTGGAGTCATGATCCAACAGCTTAACTACTACCCTGTATTTGCTCTCAATAAATTCAGAACAAGCAAACCCTTCTTGAGAGCTTTCCAAACATGGCAACAACTGGTATCTGAGAAGTTATCAAAATGCTTCTGCCCCCGTCCCCAATCCCTGGAAAAGTTTAAGCAATTTTTTCTATTTCTTTAAGTGGAAGATGCATACATGTAGTGTTTAAAAAACATTGGCCTGTTGCCACACCTAAATGAATTTAGATCTGTCTTTCCCACATCTGGTAGAGAAACTTCGGGGTTTCTTTGCTCCCATCCTGATTCTGGACGTCTTCTCATAGTTTTGTTTGCCTCCTCCTAGGCACTTTTGGTGTTTACTGTCAGACAAGCAACCACTATCAGAACGGAATGAGAGGCAGTTACTCTGTTCGGCAGTGTGGGAAAAAGGCATATTTTCCAGACCAACAATATGGGACAGTGAGAACCTTTTACATCATGGCTGAGGAGGTGGAGTGGGACTATGCTCCAGACCGCAGCTGGGAATTAGAAAGGCACAACAACTCTGGAGAGGAAAGGTATCAGTGCTGCTTCTGAAATAGCTGCTTCTGGTGACTTGTTTCCAGGAAATGGGATGCAATCAATCATGCTTTTCCTATCCTTCTTGCAAAAATATGTTTTGGGGGAATTCTCTTGAAATATGTTTAAATCAATTAGACTTATAGGCCAGACTGTAGGTCAGAGGTAGGTCAATTGGGAATGATCCTGAGGAAGGTAAGGAACTGGTTAGTGAGACGAGAAGAAGCCCTAGAAAATTATCCTGGAGAAGAACCAATGAGGAGCTGAAGGACTTTCCTCAAAAGAAGGCAAAGGGCTGTTTCTGTTGTCTCAGGCTGGTAGATCCTCAGTTACTGGAGGATCAATTTTTGCCTGAATATTAGCAAAAGCTTATTGACAGTTCATTTGACAGAGAAGTGAGCAATTATCTAGTGGCTCTAACAGAATAACAGCAAGGGGGGGACCTTGGAGGTCTTCTAGTCCAATCCCCTGCTCAAGCAGGAGACCCTGTATCATTTCAGACAAATAGCTGTCCGATTGCTTCATAAAAGCCTCCAGTGATGGGTACCCACAATTTCTGGAGGCAAGTCATTCCACTGGTTAATTTTTCTCACTCTCGGGAAATTTCTTACTTCTAGGTTGGATCACTCTTTGATGAGTTTCCATCTGTTACTTTCTTGTCTTGTCCTGTCATGCTCTGGAAAATAGGTTGACCTCCTCTTCTTTGTGGCAGCCCCTCAGATATTGGAACACTGCTATCATGGCACTTCCTAGTCCTTCTCTTCGTTAGACTAGTCATACCCAATTCCAGCAACGGTTCTTCATATGTTTTAGCCTCCAATCCCGTAATCATCTATGCTGCTCTTCTCTGCACTCTTTCTTTTTCTTTTTTTTAAGAAATTTTTTATCGGTTTTCTAGTTTTACATTTGAATATTTGAAAAGCAGCGTGGTGGCTGAGTTGTTCAATAATTCAATAACATACAAATATCTTTAGTACAGATCTCAAACTATTACATTAAAAGTTTCCTCTCTTTTCCCCTTAGTATTTACTGTCTCATCTTTAAGTTAATATAATTCTTATTATATCGATTAAATCAAAAATAACTTTCTTACATTTATCAATAATTTTTAATTTATACATATCCTAGTTGTATTAATATTCAGTCTTTTTAGACAATCAATGTCCTGACTAATTTTTCCCAATTTTTAGATTTCCCATTAATATTTATATGTAATAGTTGATAGTTATAATTTCCAAGTTTTAAATAACCCCAATTCCCTTTATCTCAATTCATCATATGATCTAAGGTTCAAAATACACATCTTATCTATTTGGGTTCTCATCATCTTACATCAACTAATTAGTTATACAATATAATATTCTTATTTTCTGGTAGTTTCTAGGTATCTTAAATTGGGTAACCAAAATTCCTCCTATTTCAACCTTTAATACTGCCTGTCTTTTTCTCTTAATATCTACTATCTCGTATTTAAGCTAATAATTCTTATTACCATTACATAAAAACATATTGCATTCATCGATTAATTTTTAGCTTATGTATATCTTAATTATCTTTACATTTAACCTTTATGAACAAATCAATGTTCAAACTTAACTATTAATATTTATACTTCTAAGTTATAAATGGCCACAGTTTTCTTTATCTCATAACAGTATCCAGTATTCAAAATACACATCTTAGCAATTTGAATATATTCTATTTTAATTCTCATGAGTAAGTCAAAACCCCAATTTTCTTCAGTCTTATTCTGGCTTGCTTTCTTTGCCAAATCCTCTTCCATGTCCGTGCTTTTGAATCGTCAAACAAATCTCCCTGTGTTGTTGTATAGATTATTTGACATAGATTATTTTTTTAAGAGGACCAACAAATAATCTCTCTATTTTTCCATCTCGACGTAGTTGTCCTAGACTATTTATCTTCTCTTCAATCTGTTCTTCTTCTTGATCCTCAGGTTCCTTCTGATTTATGTAGAAAGTCTTTTCCTTTTTCCATATTGTCAGTCTTTTTTCTGGGTTTTCCATTGATCGTATTTGTTGATCAGTTGAATCTTCTGTCATATCTTTAATTGTTCCACCTTTTCTGCTATATTCTGTGTATTTTTTAGTTATAATCAATGTTTGAGTCAGTGGCTCTCAGAATAGTTTTATGAATTACTTTCAACATAGAGAGAATCTGTTCCTGGTCTTCGTCCATATTCTCTTAGTAGAGTATTAAGTTAAGGGCTTTACAATCAGAGAATGCAAAAAGAAAGATTTTGTCACTGACTGAGGAACACAGCTGGGCTTCTCTCAGCTAATGTCTCAAGGTTACATAAATCTTACCTATTGTCTGGACTGCTGGCCAAGTCTCTTTTTAGCAATAACAAATTGTAGTGTCAGGTTTAGCCACAAGATGTCGCCCCTGCCATTTAAAGTTTTTTTTAATTCCAAAGTTTTTATAACCTTTTTGATTTTGCTTCTTTCTTATAAGTAAAAACCCCAATCTTCAGTAAGCATAGAAAATCTTTTAGTCCACAAACTTTAAAAAATAGAATTCCAATTAGAATCAAGTTATTCTTTCAACGTTTTAAACTCCCCTGGATAGTCAGTCGCCACTGTTTCTGGAGGAAGGGGTAAAAATCTCCCTTCCCTCTCCACGGGGGGAAAGTACTTTAGGCAGCTTATGCAGGTAAAGAAAATAATTAGGATTTAAGAGAGATAGATCTCACCCAGTCTCATCCATGCTGCTTTAAAATTGCCTGGTGGTAAGTGTGACTTTGGCTGTCTGCAGCCTAGTGACGAGCCATATTGCTATGGCCAGTCTTTTGTCTGCCAGTTTGGAGGGCTGCTCTGGATCAAGCAGAAGGGCTACTGCCCTCCTGCGATCCAATGGGGATCCCCTCCTTGCTGGTCGCCCCTACAGGGCAATTTTCGACCCTTTCCAGGGTCCCCCAGCGAAGTGAAAGGCGCAGAAGATGGAGTTCACCTTCCAGATGTCCATGGAAGCCACCTTGGCAAACCAGAAGTCTTCTCTGCACTCTTTCTAAAGTCTCAACATTTTTTTTATATTACGGGGACCAAAACTAGATGCAATATTCCAAGTGTGATTTTACCAAGACTTTATAAATTGGTATTGACATTTCACATGATCTTGATTCTATTCCACTGTTAATGCAGCCTATGACTGCATTGCTTTTTGGCAGCTGCAATACACTGTTGACTCATATTTAACTGATTGTCCACTAGGACAGAGAATGAGGTGGCTGGATGGAGTCACTTAAGCGTGAGCTTAAATGGACTCCAGAAGATGGTAGAGGACAGGAAGGCCTGGAGGAATGTTTTCCATGTGGTCGCAACTAACAACAACAACCACTAGGATAGGCATCTCCAATCCCTGGGCCGTGGCCTGTTTGGAACCAGGCCGCATGTTTGGTGAGCAAATTCATGCAATTCCACTTGCTCAAGCAACAGGTGCTCACACTTGCACATGAAACTCCTGTTTATACAAATGGAGCTGCTTGCGCTTGGACTCACACCTGCCACTCACACAGAACCATCCCCTCTCCCCAGCTGGAAAGATTGGGGACTGCTGCACTAGGACTCCAAGATCCCTCTCACACTTACTGCTATTGATGCTACTGCCAGGTACCATCTATTCTGTACTTGCGCATTTGATTTTTCTTGCCTAAATGTGGAACCTTACTTTTTTCATCATTGAATTTCATTTTGTTAGATAAGGCCCAGTGTTCAAGTCTTTCAAGATCCTTCTGTATATTCAGACTATCTTCTGGAATGTTGGCTATTCCTGCCAGCTTGTTGTCGTTTGCAAATTTGATGAATTCCTTTTCTATGCTCTCATCTAAATCAGATGAAGAGCACTGGGCCTAAGACAGAGCCTTGGGGTACCCCACTGCATACTTCCTTCCATGTAGATGCAGTTCCATTAAGGACTACAGGATGAGTGCAGTTGATCATTCAGTTACAAATGTTAGTGATGCTCTCTTACTCGCATCCCAAAAGTGCTTTTTCATGAGGCAACTGGACTTTCTTGTTTTTCTTTGAAAACATTTCGCTTCTCATCTAAATAGAGCTGAAGAAGCTTCTTGGATGAGAAGCGAAACATCTTCAAAAAAAACAAGGAAGTCCAGTTGCCTCGTGAAAAAGCACCTTTGGGATAACTATGACCTGGATGACTGAGAATCTCCATAGACATGTCTAACTCACATTTTTCTATCTTATTAAGTAGTAGGTTGTGGCCTACTTTATCAAATCCCTTACTGAAGTCCAAGTAAATTGTATCCATAGCATTTCACTGGTCCACTAATTTTGTTACTTTGTCAAAGAATGCAGAAGATACTTATTTACAGTGAAGGCTTTGTAGGCTAGCAGAGGTTCTCAGGTGGAACCAGTTTCCTTTGCTAGGATGGTCAGCTAATAGAAAGGGGGAATGGACCCCCACTCTCTTCCCATGGCCAACAAACTGTGGCATGGACAGCTCAGGCTCAGCAGAATCTCTCGTGAGGGCCACTCCCTTATTTGAACTTTCTGAAACAGAATTTTCTGCAGCATTTATTTAGTTTTGCTTCTCTAACCTCCACTCAGCACACTCTTGAGTATTGCTCCTTTTTACACTTTGCATCTTAACCTGTGGAAGCTGGATGGTGCATAAGTGGGACTGCAAGCCTGATCATTGCCTCCTCCCAGACAAAGGCCTGATTGCAGTTTGAGTTCTTGCCACTGGCCATTTCTCCTCCAACTTCCCAGGCCCTGCAGAAGCTTCTTCCTCCTTCAACTTCTGCTGGGGTTTCAGTTCAGCTCCTGAGGCTAGTGCACAGGAATCTAGAAGGGAAACGGGCTACAGGTTGTATTGGGAGGAGGCTCCCCTTTATTCCTCCTGCTAGGAAGAGAAGCTGGCTCTCAGTCCTCTGTTTTGTTTCGCGCGTTGGTAGGCATTGAACGAGGCAGAGTAACAACAGGTACTTCTTTATTTGTAGCTAAACAGAACTCTCAAAATGGCTCCGCCCCTTTTTATACATTCACTCTTGGGCGTTGTCAGCCAATGAATGCAACGTATTTTCCCGCTCAAACGCGTGCTCAGTAACTCAGAGACAGCCTGTCTTGCTCAGGTCTCAGTGCAGCTTCCTGCACCTGCTCCGTCAATCAAAGCCCAGGACATAACAGCCTCAGCATCCTTCCTGCAGCAGGAAACACTTGACCCAGCAGAGGTTTCCACAGGGAAGGGGTCAAAAACAACAAGATGGTAGCTGCAACCATGTAATCAAAGCCCTGACACTTTATATGAGCACTGTGACAATGTAAAAAAGAGTGGGGCTTTGATTGTCTAGCTATGGCCACTTGCTTGACTTTCTTGACCCCCCCCCCCCAGATATCCGTGTTACCCCCAGAGCCACGTGTGGCCAAATTCTAAACATATTCCAGGGAAAAGCCTCTATGGGTTAACTGTCTTGGGAGTATGGCAAGACACAAAACAGAACAAATCAAAAGTCACTTGTCTGAGATGATTAGCTATAGAAATAAATAAATAAACTGAGGGGGAAATCAAAAACTTTCTTTAAAAGTATTTGATGTCTTGATATTGCTATATAAGAATTATTGCATTTAAAATATTAGATCCAGAGGCAGAACCTGAAGTTCCTTGGCCACATCAGGACTCAAAAATCTTAGATAAAGTTTGCAGAAATATTTTTAAACATTTTACATCTATGTGATTCCCCTACTGGCTTTCCTGTCAGCCTGCTTCAGATCAGTTAAAGCCAGATTTCCTTGAGTTAAATCTTCCCAAAGCAATGAATGAGAGTCTAACACACACCATTGTAAGTTGTTCATTTGTGCTAACCATGCATCTTTCATGCAAAAAGGAATTTTGAAATTCACAGATATGGTGACATATTTCTCAACCATGAGAATGGACGACTGGGCTCCCAGTACAAGAAGGCCGTTTATAGGGAATACACAGATGGGACATTCAAGACCCCGAAGAACAGAACAGATGCTGAGCAACACCTGGGGATATTAGGTAACCCACTGAAACTTTTGAGTGTGATTTTCATTCCAGCTAGTAGAAGCTTAAACTCTTTCTGTGCATTGTTTTCAAGAGGGCGTCTTTTTTATCCACTCCTGTTAAGCTTTGCAGCTTCTCAACCAGGAGATTTCCATTCTAGAAATGAGGATTCTCTTTGAAATACAGATAGAATGAACAATGATTTCTCCAGGATGGAATAAGGACTCCTGCTTTGGGCAACTATATGTGGCTTTCAGGAGACAGAAATAACTGGGGGAGAGGGGAGGTCAAGATAGTCCTTGGCCTACAACCATTCAGCAGCCATTAAAAGTTACAGTGGCATGAAACAAATTGTAGTCATAACAACACTTTGGAGTTCCCAGGAGCCCTGCAGTCAAATGATTGTGATCTGGGCACCAGCACCCATTTGCTCTTATGACTGTCTGCAGGGCCCCACAATCACATGATTGCTACTTGCAATCTTCCCTGCTGACTTCCCCAGGAAGTGAAAGGGGAAGCTGACACCAAAGGTCTGAAGTCACTGACTTAAGTCACTCCCACCCGCACCACCACTACCCTCTTTCTGCGCTTGTGCCATACCTGCCACTTGGCCACCCTTGGGTGCCCTTCCTGGCTTGGACAGTCTTTGGGACAGAGGTTCTGATCCCAATTGCTATTGTAAGACAAGGACCACTGGTAAAGGGTTCACACCATTTGCACTGAGAAAGCACTTCAAGTTGTTTCAAAGCTTCTCTCTGCTTCCCCCCTCCTTTCCAAAACCCAAAGAGCTTCTGCATTGACTTCATGCTTGAAGGAAAGTTGAGCAAATTGGAGTTGGTAGAGAAGTGCCCATGACACAATGTTTGATAGCACATTGGATCCTTTGGAGACGTCCCTCCAAGCTTTGGGGAAGTGTGATGGACTTTCTGGCTTCTCTGGCTCAGCTCATCAAAGCTTGGGAAGAACAGGTCAGAGAAAGTCTGGTTAGAATCCTAAGGCTGGAAGGGATCTTGAAGGTCTTATAATCCAACTCTCCGCCCAAGGCAGGATTCCTGATACTATCCTAGACAAACAGTTGTCCAATCTTTTCTTGAAAGCCTCTTGTAATGGAGCACCCACAACACTGTTCCACTGATTCATCATTCTCCCAAATTTCTCCTTAGGTTGAATCTTCCTCTGACAAGCTTCTACCTCTTGCTTCTTGCCCTGCCTTCAGGTTCTTTGGAGAGTAAACTGATGCCCTGAATTGGTCAGGAAGCCAGGTCTGGTGGCACAAAGCAAAGCAGGCTGACTCCTTCTCTCAGAAGCAAAGTGGTTATGCTGTTCTCTGAAGCTACTGGGAGAGGGCTACACATTGTTGTTCACCAGAAGAACCACCACCACCCCTGCTGAAATTTTCCAAAAGCCGAGTCACTGTTCTTTTGCTTTGTCCTTCTTGCCTCCAGGTCCCTTTATTTGGGCAGAAGTGGGAGATGTGCTGAACATAGTTTTTAGGAACAAGGCCATGCGGCCTTACTCCATTCATGCCCACGGAGTCCTGGAAAAGAACAAGGACTCCAAGACAGCACTGCCTGGTGAGTCTTGCCAATATGTTCTCTGTGGCAACCTATATGTTGTGTTTGTGTATCTGTGTATTAAAAAGTTCACAACTGCACCATCTGTCCTACTTTCCCTAAGACTAAAAGGCCTTAAAAATGTGAATTGTCAGTGTAGACCTAAACTGTAGCTTCTGGATGGACAGGGTGGTGAATTCAGAAATTCCTGGTAAGAAAGATGCTAATATGTGGGCAATTTGGAAATAAACCTCTGTTTGGTTATCAGTGACAGATACTCGCAGAAACAGAACTTTTATTATACACATTAGAAAACTACAACATTACATTACTTTTTGACATTCAAATTGAGGCACTTATCATAATGTGCCTCAATGTGCCTCAAGATGTTTTCCTTTAAAAAAACATCCCAAAGGAACTTTTCAATGCCTCTAAGTTTTTGTGATCAGTCCACACTTCAAAAGGCACCTTGCTCCCCTCCAGGTAGTGCTGCCAATTTAACAGAGCCCAATGAATTGCAAAGGCTTCCTTCTCCCACACTGCCCATCATCTTTCACAGTTGGAGAATTTTTTTGAAGTGTAGGCTCAGGGCTGCAGGACCCTCTCATGATTCTTTTGCAATAGTACAGCTCCAATGGCCACCTCCCTGGCATCGGCTTGAATCACAAAGGGCTTCCCCGGGCAGGGGTGCTTTAGGATCAGATTGGCCGCAAACAGTCTTTTCAAGTTCTCAAAAGCAGTTTGACAGCTCATAGTCCATTGTAGCGGCTGGCCCAGTTGTGGCTTCCCCCTATCTTTGCCAGTTTTTAACAAGTCTGTGAGAGGTAAGGCAATTTCGGCAAATGAAGGGATGAATTGTCGGTAAAAGTTTGCAAACCCCAGAAAGCTTTGAAGTTGTTAGCGAGTTTTGGGGGGTTGCCATTTGATTACGGTTTTCACTTTCACAGGATCCATCTCAATGCTCTCAGAGGAGATACTGTAGCCCAGGTAATCCATCCGAGTCTGGTGGAATTCACATTTTGATAGCTTAACATATAGTTTGGCGTGCAGCAATTTCTTCATCAATTCTCGCACTAATTTTACATGGTCAGCCATATTCTTGCTCTATATCAAGATGTCATCAAGATACACCAAGACCCCTTTATATAAATGATCGTGTAGCACCTGGTTGATCAGCTGCATAAAGATGGCTATAGCCCTTGCAGTCCAAATGGCATGACTTTGAACTGATAGCTGCCCATAGGACAGTTAAAAGCCGTCTTCCATTTATCTCCCTCTTTTATTCTCACCTGATAATAGACTTTTCTCAGGTCTAACTTAGTGAAGATCCGCCCTTTCGCCAGATGAGTCAATAGGTCCTTCAGGACGGAGAGGGGTACTTGTTTTCTTTGCTCACAGCATTTAATCCTTTATAATCTATGCAGAGACAAAGCAAACTGTCCTTTGAACAACACCGGAGCCCCCAACTGGGATTTAGCCAGTTCGATGAAACCCCTTACTAGGTTTTTGTTTACATACTGTTACATTTCCTCCATTTCGAGGGGGGATCATAGCATACATTTTCAGTCTCGGTCTACCGGTAATAGTTCAATGGCACAGTCATTTGTTCGATGAGGAGGCAGGACATCACACTCTTTCTCACTAAACACCTCCACTAGATCCCGATACTCAGTGGAAATGAATAATTCGCCTGGCCTGGGAACAGTAGCTATTTTCATGGTTCCGCAAATGGCATAGGTCCTTCGGTAACATTAGAAGAGTGAAGAGGGGGTTTGGGACCTATAGGCAATCATACGGTCGTCATCCCCTTTTCCCAGCATATAAAAGGTCTCCACTTGTCTAACTAAGTTAGACCTAAAATCACAGCCTCAGTCATTTTCGGAGCCACCACGAAACGGATGAACTCCCAATGTTCACCTATCTCTAAGTGGACAGGTTCTGTAAGATGGGTCACTAAAGTTCCTTCCATTAAAGAGCCATCTGCCTGTTCAAATCTCATGGGCTTCGAGAGCAATCTTGCTCAAATACCCAACTTAAGAGCAGTTGGCAAGCTGATAACGCACCAAGAACATCCTGAGTCCACTACTACTTTTAAATCCATTTGTACCCCTGTCTTTGGGACTATAATTTTGGCAGCAAGAGAAAAAGGTGGGACGGGTCAACTCATCATCAGGTCGTTCTCCCCTTTGTCGTCACTGTCGTAGGTGCGAGAGAGGCAGTGGGAGTCTCGGTCTGGTTCTCAGCCATCTCCTGTGTGGGTGATGTGACTTGGGTAACAGATTCCTGTGCAATCCAGCTTGACTTCTCCTTTGCCGGCTGTTGGACTGGTTTCTTTTTCCCCGGTGGGCCCGATCTACCCCACTGTTGGGGATAGGGGATCGGGCAATTTGCCGCTCGGTGATCCTGCTGGCCACATCTGAAGCATTTGATGGGTGGCCCAACAGGTGGTTTAGGAGATTTTGCGGTTGCAATGGCTGGGGGTCTCCAGGGCGGCAGTTGTCTGGTCTGCTCTGGTCTCATGCAGGTTTCTGGGGGGGGGGTTGGTTTTTTATAACGAGCAAGCTCGATGTCTAGCCTCACTGTAGCCTGGTACCACTCTTGTAGTTTATCAGGGACCACCCAGTAAATGCAGGCCTGGGAAAGTGATGCACTAGGCCACTTTTCAATTTAACCCACTATCTTTCAAAATTCACGCACATATTCCAATGCAGGTCTATTGCCCTGCTTTATTTTGTGAATTTTTTTCTCAGCTTGGAGAGCTATGGATTGATCCTTGAACCTGGCTCTCAGTCCAAGAAGGAAAAGATGAAGTTTTCTCAGTTCGGGCGCTTGCTCTTTATACAGATTGTTTAGCCACTCAGATGCTTCCCCTTCTAGATTGGCTGTGACAATGTTGACTATGGCAGCTGTGTCCGAATAAAAGTTGACATTACAATTCATGTGTGAACGTACTTGATTGAGGGAAAAAAATCCATCAAAAGTTGCTTTAAAAGGTGGTGCCATCATAGGCTGCTGCCCCCTCCCCATTGTTGTTGCACTTCGAGTGGTTGGTGGCCTCCCAGGTGTGGTTGTGGCATCCCAGGTTGCTGCATGCCCCCCAGCGGCTGCTGGCCTCCAAGTGGCAGTGGTGGCATTCCTAACTGCTGCAGCCCTCCAAAGGATGGCGGGGGCATCCCCAGCTGCTGCAGGCCTCCTAGTGGTTGCTGGCCTCCCAGTGGCAGTGGTGGCATCCCCAGCTGCTGCAGGCCCCCCCTGTGGCTGTTGTGCCCCTACCTGTTGCTGGCTGTCCAACAGGTTGTGCAGCTGCTGAATTAGATTGTATTGAATGCCCACCTTCGGGTCTTCCCTCTGCACTGGCTTCGGGCTCATGCAGCAACGACAATAAGGCTCGGGGCTGTATGACCGGTCATAGTAATAGTCAGGGCTCTGATGGTAGCGGTGACACCTCAGGCTGTCATCGTAGTCTCGACGTCTGGAGCTGTCACGATAATCGACGCCGTTCGGGGCTTTTCTGGTGGCTGGGGCCCTTGTGCCGATAGTGGCGCTTGGGTTCTTGAAGATCGGCAGGGATCCAGACTATCTCAGTCCAAATGGCGGTCAGGAGTTTTCTTTCTCACTGGACTAGAGGTTAATGCAGGTGGTTTTGGGTGCAGGGAAGCCGCTTGCACCCCCCCCCCAACTGGGCTTGGACCTCTCTTGGACACCAATTGATGATGGTCCTGTTGATCGTTCTGCTCACTTGCATGCGAGGAGTGGGAGAGTTGTTCCCCGCTCCTCACCTCCAGTTATTTGAACCTCTCCACCAACTTTTCTACCGATTGGCTTTGGGCGGACTTCTCCCGAGTCCTCAATAGTTGCTGGCCCCTTGGCTCCCCGGTGATCTGCAGAATGCGATTCTCAAGAGGCCTCTTCTTGCAGGCCTCAGACACTTTCGTGGAGCTTCCTTCAACAGGGTTGCCCCAAGATGCTTGGACTCTCCACTGGGCAGGGTCCACTCCAAAGTCAGCTCCCGCATCTTTGGTCTAGCTCCTGACTGTAAGGGTTCCAAACTTCTTTTCTCTGCCAATGTGATGGCTTGCGCTCCCTCCGCTGAGGCAGCCACCCCGGCCAGGGTGCTGTTTGCTTGTGCTTCTCCCTTCTCCATGCTGAGTTCTTCCTTGAGTCTTTGTTAGCCTACCCTTTGGCTTTGGAAAGGTGACTGGTGCTCAGGACCCCAAGATGGTTAAAGTAGAAAGTTGTAGTTTTGGGTTAATGTCATGGTTCCGATAGATGAAACCCAATAAAGAACTTCAAGGTAAGGAATCTTCCTTAAAGAACATTTTATTCAGGAAACAAAGTATCAGCACTTCATAGTTGAACCCAAAACTAAACTTCCCCTGTCCAGACACAAAGTAATAAGTTGCAATTCCCACCCTCATTAGGCAGTCATAAATCACATTCTCCAATTAACTTAAAACACGGGCTTCTGTCCATTCTTTCAGCCCACCAAATGTTATCAGTTTGCATCCTTCAGTTCCCATGAAGCTGCACTATTGTTATGGCTAGCTGAGCTCAAGCATTCGCCCCATCCCCTTCTATGTCTGTTTTCCTAATAAGCAAAGAAAGCAAGTTAAAAGCAAAGTAAAATGGCTGCAATTTCGCTCAGTGGTCATAACGGGAACATCCATTGTCACCGCTAGATTCACCCAAGAACTTTTGAAGCAGTTCTGTTGGGATGTTTTTGATCACCCCTCCCCCCCTAAAGCCCAGATTTGGTGCCAAGCAACTACTAAGGGATTTCAAACTTTGTAAGATGTTATGACAAGTGCCTCAATTTGAATGGCGATTATGTCGAAAAGTAATGTAATGCTATAGTTTTCTAATGTGTATAATAGACGTTCTGTATCTGTGAGTGTCATTGATAACCAAACGGAGGTTTATTTCCAAATTGCCCTCGTATTTCCTTCCTGCCTATAATTATTTTCCCAGATTCAAAGAATCCAGAGTATCGGGGACTAGGCTGGGTCGACGAAGAGGCATGTAAAAAGGAGCAGGTCTCTATGTGGCCTTTTTTTTTTTCACCTGTCCTTTTTTCAGGCCCCCTCCCCCATCTTTTCCCCAAGGACTGAGGATATGCTTCTCTTTTCCTTCACCCCCCTTTTTTGTTTTGGTCAGTGACCATAATAAAGATCATAGTACTCCCTTTTTTTATGCCAGTGTTTCTCAGCCTCAGCAACTTTAAGATGTGTGGACTTCAATTCCCAGATTTCCCTAGCCAGCTAGAATTCTGGGAGTTGAAGTCCACACATCTTAAAGTTGCTGAGGTTGAGAAAGACTGATGTATACCATGGTCCAATGAGGGAATTTAGGCTGCGAGTGGTCCAAGATCAGCAGTGAACTTTGTGGCTTAATGGAGTTTTGATCTCAGATTTCCCCAGTTGTCATCTGAAAACTAATTATGGGGTCCCACTGGCTCACTTAACAACACCAGTTGCATTATTCTGTCTGTCTTCACCTGCAATTGCTATGGAGGTCAGCAAGAGCCCCCAAAGTCTCATTTGAGCAAACAATTTGTGAAAACTGAATAGAGCCAATAAATGTCTTAAAAAATGCAGAAGTATTTAAATATATTTAAATAAATACAGAAGATTAGAGTTAAAACATGGTTTGTAAGCAATAGCTAAAAAGAACATTATTGTAAAAGAAAAACCCAAACATTCCAATCAAGTAATTTTTAGTTGCACAATAGCAGAGGACTGTCAAAATCCATTTCCATGTTGGGTGGAGTTTCTTTCTATGGGTACTGTCATTCTCCTGAGTGCCCTATCAGATGCTTTTGCTTGGGCACAGTGTATCCTCTCTGTCTTTCTATTTGCTTGCTCTTTGAACTGTTTCCCCTTGGTGTCAATTCGGGATGAGAAAGGAATGTGCCTCCGACCATCTGGCTTATCTCTCACTGCGGAAGAGAAAGGTGCGAAGACCCAACAATGTCTTCACAGGTATGGGAATGGGCTCAGTTATCTGCTCCATTCCCACAGCAGACTTAACATCTGGGGATTGGCTCATTTGAACTGACCATCATTTGCTTGATGCTCTTTTAACCTATTGATCTGAGCGGGAACCCCTCAGATCTTGTCTTCCATGCCTGCAATCAGCTTCTCCAAATAAAAGTTCCTTTTGGAATGAATTTGTTCCAAGAGTCCTGCTTTCCAGGGATGAGGTTTTGAAGCGGGTCCTTACATATTCTTAACCAGTCAGTTAGGTAGAAGTGTGCTGGTGGAAGCATTTAAATTAATAATCTTAATCCTGCAACATCTTGAAGCTCCAAGGACCTATGCAAGGATCCTTGTTGTAGACTTCAGCTTGGCATTCAATACCATCATTCCAGATATTCTTCTGACTAAACTAATTCAGCTATCCATTTGTAAGTGGATAGGAAGCAGCAGGTAAAGCTAGGCAAAATCACATTAGATACCTCTACAATTAGCACAGCCCCCGCTCAGGTTATGTGCTTTCTCCACTTCTCTATCTATAACAACTGCATCTCAAAGGATCCCTCTGTTAAAGTACTGAAATTTGCAAATGATACAACAGTGATTGGTCTCATTTCAGATCATGACGAATGAGATTGAACAACTAACGTTGTGGTACGGCTGGAACAATCTTAAACTTGAACACACTCAAAACCGTAGAAATGATAGTAGATTTTAGGAAAAACCTCCTGTCTACAATACTAAACAATGCAGTATGACCTTCAAGTTTCTAGGTCAGTGATGGCGAACCTTTTTTAGACCCAGTGCCCAAAAACTGGCCCCCGCTCCACCTCCCGCCCTGCTTGCTCTGCCCCTACCCACCCCCTGCCCCGCCTGCCCACAGGGCCATGCACCGCCTCCATGGTACACCACAGATCGCCCAGGCAGCCCTGCAGTGCCATGGCAGCCATGCCCTCCGCCCACATCCCGCAGCATCATCTGCACGCTATGGGGCATGAGGGTGGAGTCTCTGCTGCCCGGTTATGTCCTTGGCGACTCTCCTCCAGGGGGACTGCTGGTGAGGAGGGGGCTGTGGGGGGAGATGGGGCTGGGGCGACAGCACATGTGCCCACAGAGAGGGCTCCAAGTGCCGCGTCTGGCACGCGTGTTCTAGGTTCTATAATATCTCAAGACTTAAAATGGAGACCTAACATCAAAAAAGCACAACAAAGAATGTTCTTCCTGTGCCAACTCAGAAAGCTCAGACTGCCCAAAGAGCTGCTTATACGGTTCTACAAGGGAATTATTGAATCTGTCATTTGCACCTCTGTAATTGTCTGATTTGGCACTGCAACCATCACCGGGTAGTTAAAACTGCAGAAAAAACAATTGCTACCAGCCTGCCTTCCATTGAAGTCCTATATACTGCACAAGCAAAAAAGAGGGCTGTGAAAATATCTATCTACAGAAGTTGTTTCAACTTCTTCCCTCAAGATGACCCTATATGGCATTGCACACCATAACAACCAGACATAAGGACAGTTTTTTTTTCTCCCATGCCATCACTCTGCTAAACAACTAATTCCCTCAACACTGTCAAACTACGTAGTAAAGCTATATTACTATTATTCTTCTCATCTTTCCTATTATCTATCTCCTTATCTTCTTATGACTATGATATTTATGGCTTGTATCTTATGATATATATTGTTTTATTTAGTATCCTAGTATGATGTATGTTGTTTGCTTATCTAGCATCCTATCATTATCACTAAGTGTTGCATCTTATGATTTATGATGAATATATATTTATGATGATTAGGATCATGATTTATCATCTGTTGCTTGTAAATACACTTGCATGTACACTGGAAACAAATTTCTTGTATGTCCAATAAAGAATTCTATTCATTTGGCTTGTGAAAATACTAATTTTCACAGATCAAAGAAGAACACGTGGAAACTATCGTTCCAAATAAATGTATTGTTGAATCAACAATGGGAAAAAGTGGTCCTAGATTTTAGCTGATGCCCTGTACTAACGTAGGTCTGCTGATAAATATGTTGCTTTTCTTATCATGTGTGCTCTCTTTTGTAGCTTGTTGTTCATGAGGAGGGCTTTATATCTGAAGGCCTTAATTTTCAAATGACAATCCCCTGTAGCTAAAATTCCTAACAAAAGTGCTGAAATCTCTCTCTCCCAGGAGAAATTGTAACCTATCAATGGAATGTTCCTGAAAGATCTGGTCCAGGACCAAACGATTCCGCCTGTTTGAGTTGGATCTACTATTCCACAGTCGATCCTGTCAAGGTGTGTGTTCTTCCATTCCTCGTTGTTGATGTCCTCTCCCAGGATGGGAGGGAGCTGCCCAAGGAAGTGGTCAAGGTGGAGATTAGGAATGGCTGAAGCCCCAACCATAACAGCTGCCTGGGTGACTTTGAGACTGTCATTCTCCCTCAGCCAAGACTACCTCACGGGCTGGCGGTTGTAGAGAAAATGGCAGAGGGAGTCTTATGCATGCCATCTTGAGCTCCTGGAGGAAGTGTGTTTGTGTATGTATGTGTGTTTGGTGATATATCCCTCACAAACAAATCTGTATGCTAGAAGCTGTTCACAAAAATAAGTAATAAAACAAAAGAGACGTGAACATGCATCAGCCTTCTCAAAGCAGTCTTCCTACCTCGGCTTTTATCTTCTTCCATTTGTTCTTCCTGCACAGAAGATGAAGGAGCAGCTTCTCCTTGCAAAGAAGTCTAACCTGCATCTTTCCTTCCGCACTAGTCTTAGCCCCAGTTCTGTCATGTTCTGTTGCCTGCAGCTTTTACAACAGCAAACATAGTGGTTGTAAACACCGTGGTCATTAAATGAATGCTGTGGTTATTAAACAAAACCATCATCATTAATGGGTGTTTCTTGTTGGAAACCTGAAATAAACGCTGCATTCTGGCAAACATGTTGCAAATTGTGGCCAGGTGACCGTGGGACACTATAGGTGGCTGTAAATGCTGGGCAGTTGCCAAGCACCCAAAATGTGGCCCCAGAAGGCGGACAGAACTTCACATCCATGTTGCAAGTGGTTAGACTGGGAAAGTCCGTTATAACTGGTTGCTGGCTGAGAACCACTTTGACATTGGCTGAGGCGAAACCAGCTGACTAGAATGGTACTGAGTTTTAGTATTCCTTTGTTCTTGTCTTTAAGGTCTTGACTGATGCAGCTGGCTTGTATGTTAATGAAAAGTATGTGGAGTTTTAGCAAATGTTTGCAAAGAGTTTTGCTCTCTCCTTTTCCGGCAGGATTTGTACAGCGGCCTCATTGGCCCCCTGAAAGTTTGTCGTAAAGGGACACTGGATCCCAATGGGAGAAGGAAAGGCGTTAACAAGGAATTCGCCCTCCTCTTTTTGGTTTTTGATGAAAATCAATCTTGGTACCTTGAGGAAAATGTGAAGACTTATATCCAAGGTGATTGGAACCATTCCCACCAGCAGGACGAAGAATTTATGGAAAGCAACAAAATGCATGGTTTGTAGATCTCTTGTGCTTTTTGCATTAGCGCCAATGATGTCTTTTGCATGTTGCAAAAAGAAAATTGCCTTTCTTACTGAGAAACAAGAAATTTCTAAAACAAAATTGACTGTTCCATGTGTATTTCTGGAGTGCCAATATGCATACAACTTTAATTTCCCTAGGAAGAGCTCATTGTATAGAGGTTTTGTCATAGAAAATTCATTTTCAATAGAAGAAAATATCTGTAGTTCAGGGTTGAACTATGGAGTCCTTATTGTTCCCTGAGCTTGCAGATGTTTTGTTAACCTCATCAGTGCGAGTGAGTGTGGGGTTTGTTCTCTGTTCTGCCTATGTTGGTGGGGGTGTGTGTGATTTTCCCCTTGGTAGTTTCCTGATTATGGTATTGTTTTCTGTTTGATCATTTATCTGGAGTTGGTTATTAGATAGGATATATTCTGGGCATTATCCAACAAAATGAAATTCAATGGTGAAAAAAGTAAGGTTCTACATTTAGGCAAGAAAAACTAAATGCACAGATATAATAGGGGGTACCTTGCTCAATAGTAGCAACTGTGAGAGGGATCTTGGAGTCCTAGTGGACAATCACTTAAATATGAGCCAGCAGTGTGCTACAGCTGCCAAAAAAGCTAACAGAGTGCTAGGCTGCATTAACAGAGGGATAGAATCAAGATTACGTGAAGTATTAATACCACTTTACAATGTCTTGGTAAGGCCACACTTGGAATACTACATCCAATTTTGGTCACCACGATTAAAAAAGATGTTGAGACTCTAGAAAGAGTACAGAGAAGAGCAACCTTTTGTTGCTTAGGAGACTGGAGGCTAAAACATACAAAGAACGGTTGCTGGAATTGGGTATGTCTAGTTTAATGAAGAGAAGGACGAGGGGTGACATGATAGCAGCGTTCCAGTATCTCAGGGGCTGCCCCAAAGAAGAGGGAGTCAAGCTATTCTCCAAAGCACCTGAAGGCAAGACAAGAAGCAACGGATGGAAACTAATCAAGGAGAGAAGAAACCTAGAACTAAGGAGAAACTTCCTGACAGTTAGAATAATTAATCAGTGGAACAACCTGCCTCCAGAAGCGGTGAATGCTCCAACACTGGAAGTCTTTAAGAAGAGATTGGACAGCCATTTGTCCAATGTATAAGGGTTTCCTGCCAGAGCAGGGGGTTAGGACTAAATAATCTCCAAGGTCCCTTCCAACTTTTTTTTAATTATTATTATTATTATTGTCGATCATCGCACAGTCAGCCAGATGTTCAGACTGGATTTGGCATTTTGTCTACCTATCGAGTCCTTACCCGGGACCTGGGATAGGCAGATGTGGATGTTTGATGGTATTACAGATATCGTCGCAGGATGGAAGCAGTTCCTAGTAAGGCCGCCTTTTGCAATTGACTAATAGCGAATTTGTCAATGCCAATGGTGTTCAAGTGGTGCTCCAGTTGTTTTGGGATTGCACCCAAGGAGCCTATTACTATTGGTACTACCCTTGCTTGCTTTTGCCACAGTCTTTCTATTTCTATTTGTAGGTCTTTGTATTTTGTTATCTTCTCCAGTTCTTTCTCTTCTATTCTGCTATCTCCAGGCACTGCCACGTCCACTATCCAGACTTTTTTGTCTTTCTTATCGACAATTGTTAAGTCTGGGGTGTTATGTTGCAGGTGCTTGTCTGTTTGAATTCTGAAGTCCCAGAGCAGTTTAATTTTATCATTTTCTATGACTTTCTCTATTTTATGATCCCACCAGTTTTTGCTTACAGGCAAATGATATTTTTTGCAGATCTTCCAATGCACCATTGTTGCTACTTTGTCATGCCGCTGCTTGTAATCAGTTTGTGCAATCTTCTTGCAACAGCTTACCAAGTGGTCCACTGTTTCTTCACCTTCTTTGCATAGGCGGCACTTACTGTCTGTATGCTGTCATACCATGTTACCCCAAAAATAAGCCCCTCCCCTAAACTAAGACCTACCCTGATTTTTTGGGGAGGCTAATATAAGCCCAACCCAAAAATAAGCCCTAATTAGGACTCCATCCCACCCCTGCCCACTCCATCCCACCCCGCTGTCGCAATGAGACAGGAGGCTGTGCGGCACATCAAGGCAAGTGGGGGAGGGGGTGAAGTTGCCCCACGTGTCCCCACCCACTCCCGCCTGCTTACCGGTACTTCAGCCTCCCCCCCCCCCCAGACAGGCCATTCCTTGGTTGGCGAACTTTCACTCCCCTCCCGAGCTGGACTGCCATGATAGGGAGGGCCCTGAACTGCTGTATGGGAGGGCAGGGTAGGCCCGGTCCCTCTCCACCGTTTTGGAGCCAGGGAGGAGTGATGGCGAATGGCTCCACTGCTGCTATGTGCCACAGGAGGGGCTTTCTTTAACCTTTGCTCTGCAGATCACCTGCCCAGGTGCACCCGCCATCTCTTTGTCCTCCTCCAACTCTCCCGGTTGCCTGTCTCTGCCAGCCCTTTGTCACCTGTCTCGTGGAGAACAGAGAACAGAAAATGCAGCTGCAGGTAAATGTAGTTTGTGGGGCTAAAAAAGTTCAGTCAGACCTTCTAACTTCTCGTGGGAAAAAAAAAAGATTTCGTGCCAGAGCTGGAAAGCAGGTTAGCAAAGAAATGCTTTCAGGAAGAGGGAGCAGCTGCACTGGGAGAATTGGCAGGAAACAGGCTGCTGTTTCCATAAGGGAGAAGGGAGATGTTGTGCAATGTAGGAAGCAAGCAAGGGCTGTTCTCTGCTCTGCATCCCTACGCAGAGCTGCTGCATTCTCTGTTCTTCATGAGACAGGCGACAAAGGGCTGGCGGAGGCAGGCGGCTGGAAGAGTTGGCAGATGACAAAGAGATGGCAACTGCGCCTGGGCAGGTGATCTGTGGGGCAAAGCTTAAAGAAAGCCCCTCCAACAGCAACAGCAGAGACGTTCGCCATCACTCCCACCTGGCTCCGAAATGGCAGAGGAGGACCAGGTCTACCCCACCCATCCCATCCACCATAGCATGGCAGTCTGGCTCAGGAGGGGAATGAAAGCTCGCCGATCAAGGAATGGCCTGGCGGGCGGGGGCTGAAGTAAGTAAGTAAGCGGGTGTGGGGCCCATGAGGCAGCTCCACCCCCTCACCCGCTTGCCTTGCTTCGTTGTGGCGGCAGCGGCATGATGTGCCGCAGAGCCTCCTACCACAAGCAGCCACTGCAGAAGTGGGCCAGCAGCCACACAGGCTGCTGGACAGGCCTGTTGGTGCCGCCACCGTGAGACGAGGCAGGTGTCACGAAAAATATAAGACATCCCCCAAATTAAGACCTAATGCCTCTTTTGGAGGCAAAAATAATATAAGACAGGGTCTTACTTTCGGGGAAACACAGTACTTAATTTGTCCAATCATTCTTCATAGGCTTCAGTTGACAGTTACCTAATAATTGCTTCTGTCCTTCTCACAGATTTGTTCCAATTTCTGTGAGTCTCACAGTCTGCTCCCTTCCAGCTCTTTTCTGATTAAGATGATTTTCTTACCTCTACAAAGCAATTACAGGCAGGCCTTGATTTACAACCATAATGGAACCTACCAGTTGAAGTTGTAACTTGTGACAGTTGTAAAGTGTGACCAACGGAGGGCTTTTTGGGGAGCAGTAATTAAGTGAGCCTGGGTTTTGCCAAAAATATTGTAAATCGTGGTCATGTGACCACAGGATGCTGCAAATGGCAGTAAACATAGGCCATTTGCCAAGCGCCCAAAATGGGCATCATATGACTGTTGGGGGGCAGTCATTAAAACTTCAGAATCAAATCATCAGTACCTTTGGGGGGGTCCATTGTAACTTTGAATGGTTGCTAAGCAACTGGTCGTAAGTTGAGGATTATTTGTATCGACCTTTTGGTCTATATGATTTATGATAGCCTTTAAATTCTTCATTAGGCAAGATTTGACAGAAGACATGAGAGAAGAAGCCAAAACTCCAAAAGTAGAGCAAGTTTCAGCAAAGTGAAGTGCAGTTCAAAGTCCTCCTTGGGATGAAGATTGTAGCTAACCACATTGTTTGTGGTGGTTGTGATCGAGTCACAGGCAGGCAGAATAATTGCTGACAGTTTTTCAGAGACAAAAGCCCTGATGCTGGGGCTCACTTTGGAAGGGGGAGCGGTTCTTTGATTCTTCATGAGACAAATGCTCTGCCATTATTAAGCAGAGATTTCTTCTTTCCTTAGCAATCAATGGTAAAGTATATGCAAACTTGCCCGGATTGGAGATGTGCGAAGGAGACTGGGTGAACTGGTATCTGTTGGGAATGGGCCAGGAGATTGACGTGCACACTGTTCACTTCCATGCAGAGACCTTCATTTACCGGGTAAGACTCTCCCCAAACTGATGCAGAGGCTTCCTCCCATCCCACTTATAAAATAAATCTAGGGAAAGAGTCTGTCTTGCAGTCCCAAGTTGGCAGGTTGATTTCTTTCCTCTTCCCACATCTCACCAAGCAAACTAAGCTGAGCAAACTTATAAAATGCCTGGCTTTCTGGCCATGGAATTGGTAGTGGCTAAACATTACCCTCTGGCCATCACCCCGGTTCTAGATTTTCACTCATTATCCTTCCATTTTGTGTGTCAGAATGGCAAGAGTTACCGGGCCGATGTGGTGGATCTCTTCCCTGGGACCTTCGAAATGATAGAGATGCAGGTTGGCAATCCTGGCACCTGGCTTCTTCACTGCCATGTGGCTGACCATATCCATGCTGGCATGGAGACCCTTTTCACAATCCTACCCCACCAAGGTAAGAAGAAAGCTTGTGGTGTAAGAAGAAAGGTCATGGGTTTAATCTGTTATGGGGACTGTGCCTGTCAAAATCATTCAGTGGCTCCAAGACATATCTGACCTCCTTGGAAAGCAAGGATGAAATTCCAGAACTAGGAAAGTTTCAGGATAAGTGATGGATCAGTAGAGAACAGCAGCTGGAAGGACCAGAAAAGCTAAGGATGTAGCAAATGTGCTTGCTTAGCTGTGAACTGTGAAGAATGCAGATAATGGGGAATCTGTGTCTGGACTTCTGTATGTTGATGTAGTATACTTAGATTTCAGTATTCATTTGACAAAGTAGACCACAACCTACTTCTTGGTAAGCTAGAAAGAGGTGGAATACACAACATCACCACCAGATGGATTTGTAGCTGGCTGACAAACCGTACTCAACATGTAGTCCTCAATGGTACTACAGCCACATGGAGAGAAATAAGCAGTGGGGTACCACAAAACTTCATCTTAGGCCCAGTACTCTTCAATATCTTCATAAATGACTTAGATGAGGGAATAGAAGGGGAACTCATCAAATTTTCAGATGACACTAAGCTGGCAGGAATAGCCAATACCCCAGAAGACAAGCTGAGGATCCAAAAAGATCTTGACAAACTTGAACAAAAAATGTGGAAAAGAGCAAAGTTTTACATTTAGGCAGGAAAAATCAAAGGTATAAATATAGATTAGGTGGGACCTGGCTCAAAAATACTAACTGTGAGAGGGACCTTGGAGTCTTAGTGGATGATCACTTGAACATGAGCCAGCAGCGTGCAGCAGCAGCCAAAAAAGCTAATAAAATCCTGAATTGTATAAACAATTGCTAAGTGTAGTCCAGGTCCATTCCAGTATTCAATTCAGTCAGAACCATTCAAAACTTCAGTCTCAATCGCTAATTCAGCAGCACAAAAGAGTTCTGGGGATGGGAATAAATGTTTGTTTGCCGCAGTTCAAGGGCTGAATGTGATGTTTAATGAAAAAGTAGATCCAGATTCACTTCTCTTTGTAAAAGCTGGATTCCATGCACAGATCTCTTGAGCTGCTTTGTGATTCTCAATTCCCTTTGTGCTCAGTTACACAAAACAGTCCTGATTCTGCAATTTATTTCTTTTCAGATGCAGAGCATTGCAGATACCATGTATTCAAAATTACAGGTACCGTGTTTTCTTTTCATACTTCTTTTCAGATATCTCTTTCAGATATCATGATTGATAGAGATATTCAAAATTTGAAATCTTTTCTCTCTTCCATTCTTTTCCTGTGGTCCCAAATAGTCACCTTCTGGAATCATCCTGAAAGTCCAACTTTACACATTCTCCAGCGATTTTCCTCTGTCTTCTGGAAATTCTCTTTCAATATTAACTGGTGCACCCTTATTCATCACAACTTATGCTAGCAGGATTGCCTCTTACCCATGGTTTTTTTTTATTTCAGGCTGTGGTTAAGGTGAAACTGCTGAGTCTTAGCTATGGCATTTTAGCTGAAGCACAATTAAACATCATGCTCAACCATGCTGTACTTGAATCCTATACGAACAAGACAGCTCAGTTCTTGGTTTTGGCTTGGCATTTTCAGGAAAACCAGGGACTAGTGTAATACATGAATTCAGGCTTAAGCTCAAGAATGACACAGCTGGAAGAGATTCTGTTTGGCCAACTTAGTTCAATTCCAAATTCTAAATTATTTCACAGGATTTCCAGTTTAGCCATGATTTTTATTTACTTCAGTCAGTTATTACATGATTATCACTGTTGTTTTCCAGTTTTCAATAGCTTAAGTTATTTAACTCCTCTTTATTCATAGTTTGGCTTTTCCATAATTTGTTCTATTTCCAGCAGAAACTTCTGATGTGGTAATTGGGGGTCATTCTGGAGAAGAACATGTGGAAGCTTCTGAAGAAAAAATCTCCCATGACATCATTTTGTTTGGCTCAAGGCTAAACCATAGACATTTAGAAGCAGCAATTATTACACTTGCTATTGCTGGGGTTGTGCTCTTCATCACTGCCAGTGTTCTTCTTGGTGTGATCATTCACCTCAAGAGACAAAAGAAGTTGAGACTCAACAAGCGATCTATATTGGATGAAAGCTTCAAACTGATGCATAGTCAGAAGCGTGACCTTTAGAGAACAGTAGAAGAACTCTTGGGAGCTTTTAAGCCAGGCAGTAGTGAAAATGGCTCAGAATAGGATACAGCAATCATTCTATGAAAATTCAATAAGAAATGTTACTAGTAAGTCATTCTGCTAAAAACTATACATTTTAGGGTTTCAAATATCCCAAGACTCAGATGGATTCCCAGATTCTTATACCCTTATTCATTGAAGAATAGGACAGAACCTCAAGTAAAGCCACCCAGAATCACCTCAGGTAAAATTGGCGGTCAATAAATTTGATAAATAAGTAAATAAATTCATACTGGATGCTCAGTCAAGAACTTGGAATCCCTCTGGTCAACAGTTTCCATCATCCCTATCTGATGTTACAACTTGAGAACTGAATCTCTTGCATTCCTTCATTCTTGGGGCAAGTCACCATTCTGTGAGATTAGCCAATTAGTTTCTACATGTTGAACATAACACCTGGCTGGGGAGAAGCAACAGGCACAGAGATGGTTCTTCAAGAGGGCAGGGCAACAAGCATTCCTGTCAAAACCTATTTATATTTCATTTCTGTCTATCTCCTCTGATCTAAACCCAAATCTCACCTTCCCCTGGGTTCTGCCATACTCCCAAGGGGGAGGGGGGATATGCCTGCGGGGTTATTGCTTTCACTTCCTCTATTCGGTACAATGTAACTTTTTGTTTATTGCCTCTGTGTCTGCTGCCCATTACAATGTAACAAATTGCCTCCTGCACTATACATCTCTCTGAACTTTCTTCTCCATAACCTGGCAGTTAGGAAAATGGGAGGGGGGGGGAATACAAATCTCCGGAGCCTGGCTTATTTCTCTGGTCTCAAAAGAAGGTGCAAAGAGCTGTTGAACATCGTACTACAACCGGAGCTGGACCGATGTTATCTCCCCTTTCCCACAATGGACTTAACACCTGGGGATTGTCCGGTCTGAACCGACCGGATGAACTGTGGGGTGGGGTTTGCTTAGGGACACTTTAAAGTATCGATCTGTAAAGAAATCCCTCAGATCCTGTCTATTATGCCTGCTATCAACTACTCTTAATAAAAGTTCCTGTTGAAAGAAATTGTTTCCAAGAGTTCTGCTTTCTTAAGATGTGGGATTGAAGTGGGTCCTTACATTAGACAGGATCTGCAGTAATAGTCAACCTGGAAGGAAGACCCTTACCAGGGGACTTTGTAAAAAATACAATGTTGGATGACGAGGCAGGGAAGGAAGAAAAACCCCTGGAAAGGGAGCCTTCCCCCCGACCGGGATCCCGCCAGCTATCGGGATACAAGATGTCATACTGCTCAGGAGAAGAAGTGGTGGAAATGCATGACCATAAACCTCAGATGTCGATGGGCATTGGCAAGAAAGACAAGTGGGAAAAGTGATTGAGAAAGGTGACCCTGAGATGGGGCAGCCACCAACTGAAATGGAAGCAAGAGATGGAGAAGTCCCTGCACATTAACGAAGAGGAAGGAGGTCATGCACAGGACTTGAACTGGATCCTAGAGAAAGCTATTGACCTGATGAAAAGAACCCTCAGCTCTCTAGGGGAGGAGAAACCTGAACCCAGCGGCTGCATCAGCACCTGGAGCTACAGCTGGAGAGTCACTGAGGGGGAATTGGAAACTGTGGTCCTGGGAACATCCGCTGAAACAGCAGCTACCATCTCGGCAACCACCCAGAGGGTCACTTTCATGCAGCTATGCCATGATACAAAATCAGCAGGGCATTTTGGATTTGAAAAAACATTACATTTAATTAAAAGGCAATTTTCGTGGCTGTCCATGAAAAAGGATATAGAAAGTTAATGCATGCGTTTTCCGGATCCGACCTCTACCTCAAAAGTTACGCCAGGGCCTATCTCGCATTTTTTGGCAAATAACCAATTAAGCATGAAAAGTCAAAATGTGAAACTGACCTCAAATTCAAAAAGTAGGCATATATTTACGTTCCCCACAGGTTGGGGAACCCGAAAAAACATGCGTTTTCTGGATCCGACCTCTGTATCAAAAGTTAAGCCAGGGTATATCTTGCATTTGTTGGCAAATAGCCAGTTAACCATGAAAAGTCAGAATTTGAAACAGACTTCAAATTCGAAAACTATACATATATTTAGTATCCCCACAGATTGGAGAAACTGAAAAACATTTCCTTTCTGGATCCGACCTCTCCCTCAGGAGTTAGTCCATGAGTATCTCGCATTTGTTGACAAATAGCCAATTAAGCATGAAAACTCAAAATTTCACACTGACCTCAAATTTGTAATGTATACACATATATAGATTCCCCATTTGATGGGGAACCCCCAAAAATATTTCTTTTCCGGATCCGACCTCTCCCTCAGGATTTACTCCATGGTGTATTTCGCATTTCTTGGCAAATAGCCAATTAAGCACGAAAAGTCAAAATGTGAAACTGACCTCAAATTCGAAAAGTAGGTTGGGGAACCTGAAAAAACATGTGTCTTCCGGATCTGACCTCTCCCTCAAAAGTTAGGCCAGGGCATATCTCGCATTTGTTGGCAAATAGTCAATTAAGAGTGAAAAGTCAAAATTTGAAACTGACCTCAAATTGAAAAAGTATAAATATATTTAGGTTCCGCTCGGGTTGGGGAACCCGAAAAACCATTTGTTTTCCGGATCCGACCTCTCCCTGAGGAGTTAGGCCGTGGCGTATTTCGCGTTTGTTGACAGCCAATTCAGCACAAAAAGTCAAAATTTGAAACTGACCTCAAATTTGAAATGTATACATGTCCTCAGGTTCCCCACAGGTTGGGGAACCTGAAAAAACATTTATTTTCCGGATCCGACCTCTCTCTCAAGAGTTATCGCATTTGTTGGCAAATAGCCAATTAAGCATGAAAAGTCAAAATTTGACACCGACCTCAAATTTGTAATGTATACACATATATAGATTCCCCATTGGATGGGGAACCCGAAAAACTATTTGTTTTCTGGATACGACCTCTCCCTGAGGAGTTAGTCCTGGCCGTATTTGTTAGCAAATAGCCAATTCAGCATGAAAAGTCAAAATTTGAAATTGACCTCAAATTTGAAAATTATACATGCCTTCAGGTTCCCCACGGGTTGGAAAACCTGAAAAACCATTTCTTTTCCAGATCCAACCTCTCTCTCAGGAGTTAGTCCATGGCGTATTTCGCATTTGTTGGCAAAAAGCCAATTAAGCATGAAAAGTCAAAATTTCACACTGACCTCAAATTTGTGATGTATACACACATATAGATTCCCCAATTAAGCATGAAAAGTCAAACTCCCTGAGGAGTTAGGCCATGGCGTATTTCGCATTTCTTGGCAGCCAATTAAGCATGACAAGTCAAAATTTGACACTGCTCAAATTTGTAACATATACACATATATAGATTCCCCAATAGATGAGGAACCCAAAAAACTATTTTTTTTCCGCATCCGACCTCTCCCTGAGGAGTTAAGCCAGGGCATATTTCTTTGCAAATAGCCAATTCAGCATGAAAAGTCAAAATGTGAAACTGACCTCAAATTCGAAAAGCATATATTCAGGTTCCCCACATTTTGTGGAAAACGAAAAAACATGTGTTTTCCGGATCCTCCCTCAAAAGGTACGCCAGGGCCTATCTCGCATTTGTTGGCAAATAGCCAATTAAGCATGAAAAGTCAAAATTTGAAACTTACCTCAAATTCGAAAACTACACATATATTCAAGTTCCCCACAGGTTGGGAAACCCGAAAAAATATTTGTTTTCCGGATCCAACTTCTCCCTGAGGATTTAGGCCGTGGCGTATTTCGCATTTGTTGGCAGCCAATTAAGCATGAAAAGTCAAAATTTGACACTGCTCAAATTTGTAACATATACACATATATAGATTCCCCAATGGATGGGGAACCCAAAAAACTATGTTTTTTCCGGATCCGATCTCTCCCCAAGGAAACAAGCAGATCAGACCCCGACCAAATTGCAACAAAAGAGAGATTTTGCAAGCAGAGAGCTTTGCAAGAAAAGAATTGCTACATTTGTGGAGCGAGCACACATTTGCAAAGGAACAATTTGCAGCAAAGGACATTTGTGCATGCAAAAAGGACTGCTTTGCAAAAGGAACATTTTGGTGTTGCAAAAGTTTGCTATAGCAACATTAGAGACAAGTGGCTAATAGATAGTGGGGCAAGTCAAACAATTGTTAATGACTCTGAATTATTTTGCAGGTTTGTTCCAGTAGCACAAGAAGCTGTGACTTTGGCAAATGGCCAGAAAGCAATAGTCATTGGAAGAGACGACGTAAAAATTCCATATTTGGAATCAAAGTTTACGAATGTGCTTTGTGTACCTGAGATGGAACATAATTTGTTAAGTGTGTCTAATTTAAACAAACAAGGTTTTGAGGTCATTTTTGTAAATGGGAAATGTCTCATCAAAAGGAATGGGAATATTTGTGCAGAAGGCTCTGTTCAAAATCTCTGGAAAGTGAGTGGATTGGATGGCTGGCACTGTTTGGACGTGTCAGAAGGAAGAGACAGTTCCCGTTAAGGCAGAATTAGGAGGCGAGACTAGAAAGGTGCGGTTCAATCCCGGATCACAGCGGTGCTGATACCTGCCATGTTAGCAGCCTCCATATCTGTGGCCAAACTGCCAGTCCACCATCTCAAAGGTACATGTCTCCAGAAAGGGGCTGGACCGGCTGGCTGGGGGGAGGGGGCAGCAATGTGATCTAGGAAAAAATGGGCTTCAAGATGTCCCAGTTCAAGATATGCATTGAGACCGTAAAGCTAGAAACTGACCGGGCTCAATGATTTTGGGAAATTAAGCTAAAGAGGGACTCCTTTGGCTAGATATGGTTATTTCCTGAACACACTCGGCCTGGTGATAGATTTACTTATTTATTTATTATTTTTATTACTGAGATTTATTACTGACTTTTATTGTTTCCCTAAATAGCTCAACGCACACTCCTTCGTCCCTACAACAACAAGCTAAGGTAGGCTAAGACTGAGAGAGCGAGACTGGCTCAAGGTCCCCATCAGGCTCTCTTGCCTCGGATGGCCCTGGTCAGTTCTTGGAGCGGAGGCTTCTTTCCTAATTCGCCTCTTACGGTCACCAGAAGCAACCTGTTAGGGCCAGAGATGGCCAAACTGGTTGATTGCTGATACTGACTCTTTGCACTCTTTTGAGAGGTGATTTGCCTTGAACAGGAGTCAGAATCAAATGGGAAGTCGGGACAGTTAGAAGGGAGGTCATGATCGATGGATTATGTCCGTGTTTCCCAAAATGGGCCACTTTCAGGTTAGTTAGCAAAATGGCCCCTGAACGGAGGGAGGATGTGACTGTGTCTCTCCATTTCTTCAGATAGGTCAGCAACAGGGAAGAAACGGCCCTACAGGGAATATCCCTGGGCTATCTCTCAGCGGCCAGTGATGGTCTCCATCTCCAGGTTAAGCAGCCGAGAGATGCCTTTGACCTTCAGACCCAAAAATTCAAGAGACAAACAACGGATGAAAGAGCAGCAGAGTTGTCTCAAGCAGACCGTCTATCAACTTAAGAGCACAACAAAAAAGTGGCACAAAACTACTGGACAAAAGAGAAAGGTTGGAGCATGCCACCATGATGATCCCTCAGCGAGGGCTAAAGACCAAATCTTTGGTGAAACACACTGAAGAACTGCACAAAGAACGGTGCAGGTTAGCAAGCAAGCGGCCTTCCTCAAATATGAGAAGGCTGCCTTAGAACCTTTGAGAAGAGATCTCGAAGAAGTCTGGAACCTTCTTAAGAACTTAAGAAGCACCTCTAAAGTCTGCAGCATGAATAGGTTGAGACGGATCAAAGTTACTACGTGGAGAAAAGCCACTTCAGCCAACTGATGCAGAAAGTCAATCCTCTTCAGCAGAATGAGAGGGGAAATAAGAAGAAGCAAGTCAACAATCTACAGCAGCAACAGCAGCCACCGCAGAGCTGTGCTTCCCAGGCCACAGTGGGAGACCTGTGGAGAGCTGTGGAGGACAATGGATAAGGACTGAACC